CCTTTGACATCACATATGGGTCAATGAAATACACGTTGAAAGTAAAGTTTTGTGAGTGGTAAAACTCCAGAAATATGGTCATAGCGGTTGTTTTGTCGATGTCAGAGGCGGAACTGCATTAGAGCTGTCAAATCCCCAAGCGGCTCCTGGCGTTATACCTAAAGCGGACACTGCCATTGGCTGCAGGGAGTCGCATTAACAGAATGCAGCCTGGTTTACACGTTGGAACACTGGAATGCGAGATGTAATCTACACCTCCATTATGATGATAGAAATCCTCTTTATTTGGTTGAATGGTATTTATATTTTCTATATTATATTATTTCTATATAGCCTACACTTTCTTGTTCTGACCTTCTAACGCGAGTGGGGCGGGTGTGGCTTCGTGACAATGATCGCAAGGCGGCTCCAACGCAGTTCCACCTCCAACACTGCCAAAACATCCGCTATTCGGGTGTCTGCTACCGCCAGTGAACGCTTGATCTGATTGAATCTAGGCCATAGTCTCTCTCCTGTGACCTTCAAGTCTTGTCCTTGAAGCTACATTGTGAATATAGCACTGTTGTGTGCGTCAGCCCCTCGGTGAAGAAGGGCTGCTTTCCAAATGGCACCCTATTCCCTACATAGTGCACTTATTTTAACCAGAGCCAGTATATGGGTAATGGTGTGTCATTGGGAAGTACTCAAGGTTAGCCACAGGCGCAGCCGTGTGGAAACGTAGAGAGCACAGAGCCAGAGCAGTACTATAATAGTTGGCCAATAGCCCAGTGTAATGGATGTGGTTCAGTGAAACGTTATGTTTCCATGATGCCTTACCTTGTCTGAGACCTGCCTGGAGGCTTGTGTTAGCTTCCTGAGCTCCAGCCTTTAGCTCAGCGGGCTAACACAAGCCTTATGGTGTGACTGCGCAGGAGACACAGGTTCAAATCCAGTTGGTCACAACAGCATTGCAGAGTGTTAGCCTGCTGAGCTAAAGGTACAGGAGCTAAACCTCTAACCCCATAGCCCCTAAACCCCTAAACCCATAGCCCCTAAACCCATAGCCCCTAAACCCCTAGCCCCTAAACCCCTAGCCCCTAAACCCATAGCCCCTAAACCCATAGCCCCTAAACCTCTAAACCCCTAGCCCCTAAACCCATAGCCCTTAAACCCATAGACCCTAAACCTCTAAATCCCTAGCCCCTAAACCCCTAGCCCCTAAACCCATAGCCCCTAAACCTCTGAACCCCTAGCCCCTAAACCCATAGCCCCTAAACCTCTAAATCCCTAGCCCCTAAACCCATAGCCCCTAAACCTCTGGACCCCTAGCCCCTAAACCCATAGCCCCTAAACCTCTAAATCCCTAGCCCCTAAACCCATAGCCCCTAAACCTCTGGACCCCTAGCCCCTAAACCCATAGCCCCTAAACCTCTAAATCCCTAGCCCCTAAACCCATAGCCCCTAAACCTCTGAACCCCTAGTCCCTAAACCCATAGCCCCTAAACCTCTGAACCCCTAGCCCCTAAACCCATAGTCCCTGAACCCCTAAACCCATAGCCCCTAAACCCATAGCCCCTAAACCCCTAGCCCCTAAACCCATAGCCCCTAAACCCATAGTCCCTAAACCCCTAAACCCATAGCCCGTAAACCCATAGCCCCTAAACCCCTAGCCCCTAAACCCATAGCCCCTAGCTCCCTAAACCCCCTAGCCCCTAAACCCATAGTCCCTAAACCCCTAAACCCATAGCCCCTAAACCTCTGAACCCCTAGCCCCTAAACCCATAGCCCCTAAACCCATAGCTCCTAGCTCCCTAAACCCCCTAGCCCCTAAACCCCTAGCTCCTGAACCCCTAAACCCCTAAACCCCTAGCTTCTGCAGACTGGCAAGCTAGCCAGTGGAGGGTTCAGGGTTTCTCGCTTCCACTAACTTTGATTTATGCATTAGCTGCTGAGAGGAAGCGACCCAGAAAAGTAACTTGCTGCTTGTCACTTGCTTCTGAACATCCGCTCTGGCTGTATCAGTGAAAGGATTTAAATGTTTACTTCTCTGTGAAGCTTTTTAGCTTGCAGCTGGGAGAGATTAGAGCTTTTTAGCTTGTGGCTGGGAGGGATTAGAGTTTTTTTTAAACTGGTGGCTGGGAGGGATTAGAGGTTTTTTAGCTAGTGGCTAGGAGGGATTAGAGGTTTTTAGCTTGTGGCTGGGAGGGATTAGAGGTTTTTAGCTTGTGGCTGGGAGGGATTAGAGGTTTTTTAGCTTGTGGCTGGGAGGGATTAGAGGTTTTTTAGCTTGTGGCTGGGAGGGATTAGAGGTTTTTTAGCTTGTGGCTGGGAGGGATTAGAGGTTTTTAGCTTGTGGCTGGGAGGGATTAGAGGTTTTTTAGCTTGTGGCTGGGAGGGATTAGAGGTTTTTAATTGGTGGCTGGGAGGGATTAGAGGTTTTTTAGCTTGTGGCTAGGAGGTGGCTGGGAGGGATTGAAGCTTTCTGGCACATACAGTACCATGAGTTTAGGAGCCTCCTCTTTTTATATATATATATATATATATATATATATATATACACACACCACACACCACACACACACACACACACACACACACACACACACGTACGTCCCCTGTAGCTCAGTTGGTAGAGCATGGCGCTTGCAACGCCAGGGTTGTGGGTTCGTTTCCCACGGGGGGCCAGTATGAAAATGTATGCACTCACTAACTGTAAGTCGCTCTGGATAAGAGCGTCTGCTAAATGACTAAAATGTAAATGTGTTTGAAGAGCCAGCAGAGACAGACAGAGCCACGCCAGGAAGAGAACAGGGATGTGTTTGAGTTTTAATCAGTGTGACAGAAGCTCTGCCAGCTCCACTGGCTTGTCCTTATCTAACTACAAGCCTCTGTGACTCTGCATATAAAAAGCCACGGCTTGGTAAATGGAAAAATGTGTTTTGAAAGAATAAACCTCTGTCTTGTCTTGGTAACTCTTTCTGCCATGTGGCTGGGCCGGTGACCTGGCGTGGTGAAAAGGCCTGTTCTACAAGCCACTGTGACTCTGCATAGAGAAAGCCACGGCAAGGATGGAAAATGTATTTAGGGAATAAGGAATAAATCTGTCTTGGTAGTCTCTCCTAACAGACTGTTAACTTAATCGAGGTAGCTAGCCTGCACACACAATATTTGGTTCTCGGTTCCAAGATTAGTATTACTGTCTTGCCTCTTGGTAACACTTTTTTGCCATGTGGTCGGTGACCTGAGCTTGGCCTGGTGACAGAGACACAGGGGGCTAAGCCCAGTGTGACACCGTAGTGTAGTAAGCGTGTTCAGGCAGTGTGGAGCGTGATACTAAGCTGGTTGGACTCTAGGCCTTACTAAGCCATCTGTGGTTAAGACTAGGCTGGGGACAGACTGGGGACAGGCAGCAGACTGCTGGGGTTAAGACTAGGCTGGGGACAGGTTGGGGACAGGCAGCAGACTGCTGGGGTTAAGACTAGGCAGGGGACAGGCTGGGGACAGGCAGCAGACTGCTGGGGTTAAGACTAGACTGGGGACAGGCTGGGGACAGGCAGCAGACTGCTGGGGTTAAGACTAGGCTGGGGACAGACTGGGGACAGGCAGCAGACTGCTGGGGTTAAGACTAGACTGGGGACAGGCTGGGGTTAAGACTAGGTTGGGGAGAGGCTGGGGACAGGCTGGGGTTAAGACTAGGCTGGGGACAGGCTAGGGTTAATAATAAGTTGTGGACAGGCTGGGGTTGACTAGGCTGGGGACAGGCTGGGGTTAAGGCTAGGCTGGGGACAGGCTAGGGTTAATAATAAGTTGTGGACAGGCTGGGGTTGACTAGGCTAGGGACAGGCTGGGGTTAAGGCTAGGCTGGGGACAGGCTAGGGTTAAGACTAGGTTGGGGAGAGGCTGGGGACAGGCTGGGGTTAAGACTAGGTTGGGGAGAGGCTGGGGACAGGCTGGGGTTAATAATAAGTTGTGGACAGGCTGGGGTTGACTAGGCTGGGGACAGGCTGGGGTTAAGGCTAGGCTGGGGACAGGCTAGGGTTAATAATAAGTTGTGGACAGGCTGGGGTTGACTAGGCTGGGGACAGGCTGGGGTTAAGACTAGGCTGGGGACAGGCTGGGGTTAAGACTAGGTTGGGGAGAGGCTGGGGACAGGCTGGGGTTGACTAGGCTGGGGACAGGCTGGGGTTAAGACTAGGCTGGGGACAGGCTGGGGTTAAGACTAGGTTGGGGACAGGCTGGGGACAGGCTGGGGTTAAGACAGGCTGGGGACAGGCTGGGGTTAAGACAGGCTGGGGTTAAGGAGCCAGGGAAGAGGCAGTAGAGCGCACTAGACAGGAGAAAGTGCCTTAACAGGTTGAAGACAGACAGAGGACTGTCACTTAAGTGCTTAGTTACCTCATGTCCATCTGTCTCAGCCATGCCAGTGTCCTATCCTATGGCCAGTCACATACAACATCTGCCTTAAATACACATCGGCCGTATGAGACCGCTCTACTGGACTGTATGCAGCCACAATTTAACACTTTAGAAAAATGGCAGAGAAGAAGCCTATTTGAAGGCACATTTTTACGAACACTATTGAAAAAACGGTTGACAGCGAAAACCAGGAGATTTGAGGAAAGTTGATCAAACATGTTATCAACCAGTGGAGGCTGCTGAGGGGCGGACAGCTCATAATAATGTCTGGAACGGAATGAATGGAATGGCATCAAACATGGAAACCATGTATTTGATACCATTCCACTGATTCCATTCCAGCAATTACCACGAGCCCGTCCTCCCCACCAACCTCCTGTGTTATCAACCAAACCAAAACAACTTATCTGTTTACAGTATTAACTTCTATCTGTGAGGAAATCTTGTCTTGGTTTATTTCACAACTGATTTAAGATGGTACTTACCTGGAATTAACTAAGAACTGTGAGGAAATCTTGTCTAGGTTTATTTCACAGCTGATTTAAGCTGGTATTAACTAAGAACTGTGTGGAAATCTTGCTTTCCTTCGCTCTTTTGTTCCAGGCTCCACACTGTTGTTCCTGTTGTCCTGTGACGCCCTGCTGAGTGATGGGCCACCCACCCTGCTGTCCACCTCCCAGCCCTCCCAGCCCTCTCCTCTGTCCCTCATGGACCTGGATCTAGATGTGGAGGAGCAGCCTGAGATGATGACCGGTAGGTTAGAGAAGCGGGCCAGCAACCACAGGGTCGCTCGTTCGTTTCCCATATCCAACTGAAAAATCTGGTGGGGCATAGGCCGGCAACCAGAGCCTCGCTGGCATCAGTACCTTAGATGTAATCTCCTGCCATTGTGCCTTTGAGCAAGGCATTTAACCCCAGAGAAACTGCTCCAGGGAGTGTGTTTGTGTCTTGGGGGTTGGGCTAAAAGCAAAATACAAATGTCTGTGGACTGACAATAAAGTAAATAATAAATCAAGACAATAAAGTATTCTTCTTCTCTGTAGTTCCAGGCAGCCCCACCATGGTACCAGGCCTAACCTCCCAGGGACGGGAGACATCCCAGCAGGACACGTCCCAGGAGTCCTCAGGGTTCTTCAGTGAGGACAGTGAAGACAACAAGCCTCTCCAGTCCTCTGTTAACCTCTGGGACGATGTCAGAGACCAAGTCAACATCACTGGTCTAGACAGGAACTCCCTCAGAGGTACGTAGACTATGTATATGACAGTGGTATGTCTTTCCTGTCAGACATCAGAGTTCCCCTGCTACATCTTATCCATTATTTGGTGCCAAGGACAGGAGAAAGACAGGGAAGACCCTTGATAGCGTGAATACATGGCAGCAGGTAACATGTCTCAAACAGCAGCACGTGATCCAAGATGGCGTAGCAGTGCGGTCGTGTTCTTTGTTGTGTGTCCGTGTAAATAGCCTGTATTTTGTATTTTTTTGTATTTTTCGTACATATTTCCCTATCACACTTTTCATCCTTCTACTAAATATACTGTCCTGCAACCCGCCTCACTCAATGTGGAACGGATTCTATTATTTACTCACCTTTATCTAGAATTGAAACTAGCTAGCCAGCTAACTAGCTACTTGCTATTAGCCACCATTAGCGGTTTTCACCCAGAACATGTCAATATGCCTTGCCTATTGCTGTTCCAGTTAGTTCTTATTATACAATTTCAATATAGAACCCCAAGTCATTCTCAAAGCGCCTCAAATAGCTCCTTTGTTCCACCCCCCATACACGCCGAGACCGGCTCAATCGGTGCCTCCAGTGATGCTATCTCTTTCATTGTTACCCAACGCTTAGGTTTACCTCCACTGTACTCATATCCTTCCATATCCTTGTCTGTACAGAATGCCCTGAATCTATTCTACAACGCCCGGAAGTCTGCCCCCTTTATTCTCTGTACCCAACGCACTAGAAGACCAGTTCTTAACGCCTTTAGCCATATCCTTATCTTCAGAACAGCGCCGGAAGAAGATGGCTGCCGTTTTACAGCCCTCTAACCAATTGTACTATTATGTGTGTTTTTCCGCGTTATTTGTAATTTATTTTGTACATAATGTTTATGCCATCGTCTCTTATAACCAAAGAGAGCTTCTGGATATCAGGACAGCGATTACTCACCTCGCGTTGGACGAACACTTTTTCTTCAACGAGGCGTTCGCGAAGGATATTCTACAGACTCCAGACAAGGCCCAGATCCCCGTCATTCGCGTGAGGAAGAGACGGAGATACCGTGGACGTAGGTCGGGGTGCCTTGTAAAGATCCGACGGCGAACGAGTAAACTGCCTCTCCCATCAATCCTATTAGCCAACGTTCAAGCTTTGGATAATAAAATGGACGATTTAAGATTACGGTTATCCTACCAACGGGACATTCAAAACTGTAATATCTTATGTTTCACGGAGTCGTGGCTGAATGACAACAATGACAACATTCAGCTAGCAGGCTATACGCTACATCGGCAGGACAGAACGGCAGACTCGGGTAAGACGAGGGGTGGCGGTCTCTGTATTTTTGTAAACAACAGCTGGTGCACAAAATCAAATACTAAGGAAGTCTCAAGGTTTTGCTCGCCTGAGGTAGAGTATCTTATGATAAGCTGTAGACCACACTATTTACCAAGAGAGTTTTCATCTATACTTTTCATAGCTGTCTATTTACCACCACAAACCAATGCTGGCATTAAGATTGCACTGAATGAGTTGTACAAGGCCATTAATCAACAGGAAAACGCTCATCCAGATGCAGCGCTCCTAGTAGCAGGGGACTTTAATGCAGGGAAACTTAAATCCGTTCTACCTCATTTCTACCAGCATGTTAAATGTGCAACCAGAGGGGAAAAAACTCTAGACCACCTTTACTCCACACACAGAGACGCATACAAAGCTCTCCCTCGCCCTCCATTTGGCAAATCTGACCATAACTCTATCCTCCTGATTCCTGCTTATAAGCAAAAACTGAAGCAGGAAGCACCAGTGACTCGGCTAATAAAAAAGTGGTCAGATGACGCAGATGCTAAGCTACAGGACTGTTTTGCTAGCACAGACTGGAACATGTTCAGGGATTCTTCAGACAGCATTGAGGAGTACACCACATCAGTCACTGGCTTCATCAATAAGTGCATCGATGATGTCGTCCCCACAGTGACCGTACGTACATACCCCAACCAGAAGCCATGGATTACAGGAAACATCCGCACTGAGCTAAAGGGTATGGCTGCCGCTTTCAAGGAACGGGACTCTAACCCGGACGCTTATAAGAAATCCCGCTATGACCTCCGACGAACCATCAAACAGGCAAAGAGTCAATACAGGTCTAAGATTGAATCATACTACACTGGCTCTGACGCTCGTCGGATGTGGCAGGGCTTGAAAACTATTACAGACTACAAAGGGAAGCACAGCCGCGAGCTGCCCAGTGACACAAGCCTACCAGACGAGCTAAACCACTTCTATGCTCGCTTCGAGGCAAGCAACACTGAAGCATGCATGAGAGCACCAGCTGTTCCGGACGACTATGTGATCACGCTCTCCGTAGCCGATGTGAGTAAGACTTTTAAGCAGGTCAACATTCACAAGGCCGCAGGGCCAGACGGATTACCAGGACGTGTACTCCGAGCATGTGCTGACCAACTGGCAAGTGTCTTCACTGACATTTTCAACATGTCCCTGACTGAGTCTGTAATACCAACATGTTTCAAGCAGACCACCATAGTCCCCGTGCCCAAGAACTCTAAGATAACCTGCCTAAATGACTACCGACCCGTGGCACTGACGTCTGTAGCCATGAAGTGCTTTGAAAGACTGGTCATGGCTCACATCAACAGCATAATCCCAGAAACCCTAGACCCACTCCAATTTGCATACCGCCCCAACAGATCCACAGATGATGCAATCTCTATCGCACTCCACACTGCCCTTTCCCACCTGGACAAGAGGAACACCTACGTGAGAATGCTATTCATTGACTACAGCTCAGCATTCAACACCATAGTGCCCTCAAAGCTCATCACTAAGCTAAGGATCCTGGGACTAAACACCTCCCTCTGCAACTGGATCCTGGACTTCCTGACGGGCCGCCCCCAGGTGGTAAGGGTAGGTAACAACACATCTGCCACACTGATCCTCAACACGGGGGCCCCTCAGGGGTGCGTGCTCAGTCCCCTCCTGTACTCTCTGTTCACCCATGACTGCATGGCCAGGCACGACTCCAACACCATCATTAAGTTTGCCGACGACACAACAGTGGTAGGCCTGATCACCGACAACGATGAGACAGCCTATAGGGAGGAGGTCAGAGATCTGGCCGTGTGGTGCCAGGACAACAACCTCTCCCTCAACGTGACCAAGACAAAGGAGATGATTGTGGACTACAGGAAAAAAAAGAGGACTGAGCACGCCCCCATTCTCATCGACGGGGCTGTAGTGGAACAGGTTGAGAGCTTCAAGTTCCTTGGTGTCCACATCACCAACGAACTATCATGGTCCAAACACACCAAGACAGTCGTGAAGAGGGCACGACAAAGCCTATTCCCCCTCAGGAGACTAAAAAGATTTGGCATGGGTCCTCAGATCCTCAAAAAATTCTACAGCTGCACCATCGAGAGCATCCTGACTGGTTGCATCACCGCCTGGTATGGCAACTGCTTGGCCTCTGACCGCAAGGCACTACAGAGGGTAGTGCGTACGGCCCAGTACATCACTGGGGCAAAGCTCCCTGCCATCCAGGACCTCTATACCAGGCGGTGTCAGAGGAAGGCCCTCAAAATTGTCAAAGACTCCAGTCACCCTAGTCATAGACTGTTCTCTCTGCTACCGCACGGCAAGCGGTACCGGAGTGCCAAGTCTAGGTCCAAAAGACTTCTCAACAGCTTCTACCCCCAAGCCATAAGACTCCTGAACAGCTAATCATGGCTACCCGGACTATTTGCACTGCCCCCCCCACCCCATCCTTTTTACGCTGCTGCTACTCTGTTAAGTATTTATGCATAGTCACTTTAACTCTACCCACATGTACATATTACCTCAACTACCTCAACTAGCCGGTGCCCCCGCACATTGACTATGCAACGGTACCCCCCTGTATATATAGCCTCCCTACTGTCACTTTATTCTATTGTATATATAGCCTCCCTACTGTCACTTTATTTTTTACTTCTGCTCTTTTTTTCTCAACACTTTTTTGTTGTTGTTTTATTCTTACTTTTTTGTTTAAAATAAATGCACTGTTGGTTAAGGGCTGTAAGTCGCCAGGGTTGTGGGTTCGATTCCCACGGGGGGCCAGTATAAAAAAAAAAAAATGTATTCACTAACTGTAAGTCGCTCTGGATAAGAGCGTCTGCTAAATGACTAAAATGTAAATGTAAATGTAAGTAAGCATTTCACTGTAATGTCTGCACCTGTTGTATTCGGCGCATGTGACCAATAAAATTTGATTTGATTTGATTATTCTAGTCCTCCTCTGTTCCTCTGGTGATGTAGAGGTTAACCCAGGCCCTGCAGCCCCCAGTATCACTCCTACTCCCCAGGAGTTATCATTTGTTGACTTCTGTAACCGTAAAAGCCTTGGTTTTCTGCACGTTAACATCAGAAGCCTCCTTCCTAAGTTTGAGTGATTCACTGCGTTAGCACACTCCGCCAACCCTGATGTTCTAGCAGTGTCTGAATCCTGGCTTAGGAAGGCCACCAAAAATTCTGAAATGTCCATCCCCAACTACAACATTTTCGGTCTAGATAGAACTGCCAAAGGGGGTGGAGTTGCAATCTACTGTAGAGATAGCCTGCAGAGCTCTATCATATTATCCAGGTCTGTGCCCAAACAGTTTGAGCTGTTTGGGCACAGAAAGCTTTCCAGAAATAAGTCTCTCACTGTTGCCGCTTGCTACAGACCCCCTCAGCCCCCAGCTGTGCCCTAGACACCATATGTGAATTGATTGCCCCCCACCTAAACTGGGATATGCTTAACACCCCGGCCATCCTACAATCCAAACTAGATGCCCTCAATCTCACACAAATTATCAAGGAACCTACCAGGTACAACCCTAAATCCGTAAACATGGGCACCCTCATAGATATCATCCTGACTAACTTACCCTCTAAATACACCTCCGCTGTCCTCAACCAGGATCTCAGCGATCACTGCCTTATTGCCTGCGTCCGTAACGGGTCCGCGGTCAAACGACCACCCCTCATCAATGTCAAACGCTCCCTAAAACACTTTAGCGAGTAGGCCTTCCTAATTGACCTGGCCCAGGTATCCTGGATGGATATCGATCTCATTCCGTCAGTAGAGAATGCCTGGTTGTTCTTTAAAAGTGCTTTCCTCTCAATCTTAAATAAGCATTCCCCATTCAAAAAATTCTGAACTAAGAACAGATATAGCCCCTGGTTCTCCTCAGACTTGACTGCCCTTGACCAGCACAAAAACATCCTGTGGCGTACTGCATTAGCATCGAATAGCCCCAGCGATATGCAACTTTTCAGGGAAGTTAGGAACCAATATACACAAGCAGTTAGGAAAGCAAAGGCTAGCTTTTTCAAACAGAAATGTGCATCCTGTAGCACTAACTCCAAAAAGTTTTGGGACACTGTACAGTCCATGGAGAATAAGAGCACCTCCTCCCAGCTGCCCACTGCACTGAGGCTAGGAAACACTATCACCACCGATAAATGTACAATAATCGAGAATGTCAACAAGCATTTTGCTACGGCTGGCCATGCTTTCCACCTGGCTACCACTACCTCGGCCACCAGTTCTGCACCCTCCGCTGCAACTTGCCCATACCCCCCCCCCCCCCCCGCTTCTCCTTCACACAAATTCAGACAGCTGATGCTCTGAAAGAGCTACAAAATCTGGACCCCTACGAATAATCTGGGCTAGACAATCTGGACCCTTTCTTTCTAAAAATAGCCGCCGAAATTGTCGCAACCCTTATTACTAGCCTGTTCAACCTCTCTTTCGTAACGTCTGAGATCCCCAGAGATTGGAAAGCTGCCGCGGTCATCCCCCTCTTCAAAGGGGGTGACATTCTAGATCCAAACTGTTACAGACAGTTATATCCATCCTGCCTTGCCTTTCGAAAGTATTTGAAAGCCAAGTTAACAAACAGATCACGACCATTTCGAATCCCACCGTACCTTCTCCGCTATGCAATCCGGTTTCCGAGCTGGTCATGGGTGCACCTCAGCCACGCTCAAGGTCCTAAACGATATTATAACCGCGATCGATAATAGACAGTACTGTGCAGTCGTCTTCATCGACCTGGCCAAGGCTTTCGACTCTTATTTGTATTGGCAGACTAAATAGCCTTGGTTTCTCAAATGACTGCCTCACCTGGTTCAGCAAATACTTCTCAGATAGAGTTCAATGTGTCAAATCGGAGGGCCTGTTGTCTGGACCTATGGCAGTCTCTATGGGGGTGCCACAGGGTTCAATTATTGGGCCTATGCTACCCTCCAGTCCCTCGACTTCTTGGCGCTGACGGAAACATGGATTACCACAGAAAACACTGCTACTCCTACTGCTCTCTCCTCGTCTTACCATTTGTTCTCGCATACCCCGAGAGCATCTGGTCAGCGGGGTGGTGGCACAGGAATCCTCATCTCTCCCAAGTGGACATTCTCTCTTTCTTCTCTCGGTCCTCCCCTCCTGCTCCGTGGCTTGACGACTCATTGCGAGCTCACAGAACAGGGCTCCGGGCAGCCGAGCGGAAATGGAGGAAAACTAGACTCCTTGCGGACCTGGCATCTTTTCATTCCCTCCTCTCTACATTTTCTTCCTCTGTTTCTGCTGCTAAAGCCACTTTATACCACTCTAAATTCCAAGCATCTGCCTCTAACCCTAGGAAGCTCTTTGCCACCTTCTCCTCCCTGCTGAATCCTCCTCCCCCTCCCCCCCTCCTCCATCTCTGTGGATGACTTCGTCAACCATTTTGAAAAGTAGGTTGACGACATCCGATCCTCGTTTGTTAAGTCAAATGACACCGCTGGTCCTGCTCACACTGCCCTACCCTATGCTTTGACTTCTTTCTCCCCTCTCTCTCCAGATGAAATCTTGCGACTTGTGATGGCCGGCCGCCCAACAACCTGCCCGCTTGACCCTATCCCCTCCTCTCTTCTCCAGACCATTTCCGGAGACCTTCTCCCTTACCTCACCTCGCTCATCAACTCATCCTTGTCCGCTGGCTATGTCCCTTCTGTCTTCAAGAGAGCGAGAGTTGCACCCCTCCTCAAAAAACCTACACTCGATCCCTCCGATGTCAACAACTACAGACCAGTATCCCTTCTTTCTTTTCTCTCCAAATCTCTTGAGCGTGCCGTCTTTAGCCAACTCTCTTGCTATCTCTCTCAGAATGACCTTCTTGATCCAAACCAGTCAGGTTTCAAGACTGGTCATTCAACTGAGACTGCTCTTCTCTGTGTCACGGAGGCTCTCCGCACTGCTAAAGCTAACTCTCTCTCCTCTGCTCTCGTCCTTCTATACCTATCTGCTGCCTTTGATACTGTGAACCATCAGATCCTCCTCTCCACCCTCTCTGAGTTGGGCATCTCCGGCGCGGCTCACTCTTGGATTGCGTCCTACCTGACAGGTCGCTCCTACCAGGTGGCGTGGCGAGAATCTGTCTCTGCACCACGTGCTCTCAGCACTAGTGTCCCCCAGGGCTCAGTTCTAGGCCCTCTCCTATTCTCGCTATACACCAAGTCACTTGGCTCTGTCATATCCTCACATGGCCTTTCCTATCATTGCTACGCAGACAACACACAATTAATCTTCTCCTTTCCCCCTTCTGATAACCAGGTGGCGAATCGCATCTCTGCATGTCTGGCAGACATATCAGTGTGGATGACGGATCACCACCTCAAGCTGAACCTCGGCAAGACGGAGCTGCTCTTCCTCCCGGGGAAGGACTGCCCGTTCCATGATCTCGCCATCACGGTTGACAACTCCGTTGTGTCCTCCTCCCAGAGTGCAAAGAGCCTTGGCGTGACCCTGGACAACACCCTGTCGTTCTCCGCTAACATCAAGGCGGTGACCGATCCTGTAGGTTCATGCTCTACAACATTCGCAGAGTAAGACCCTGCCTTACACAGGAAGCGGCACAGGTCCTAATCCAGGCACTTGTCATCTTCCGTCTGGATTACTGCAACTCGCTGTTGGCTGGGCTCCCTGCCTGTGCCATTAAACCCCTACAACTCATCCAGAACGCCGCAGCCCGTCTGGTGTTCGACCTTCCCAAGTTCTCTCACGTCACCCCGCTCCTCTGCACACTCCACTGGCTTTCAGTTGAAGCTCGCATCTGCTACAAGACCATGGTGCTTGCCTACGGAGCTGTGAGGGGAACGGCACCTCCGTACCTTCAGGCTCTGATCAGTCCCTACACCCAAACGAGGGCACTACGTTCATCCACCTCTGGCCTGCTGGCTCCCCTTCCTCTGCGGAAGCACAGTTCCCGCTCAGCCCAATCAAAACTGTTCGCTGCTCTGGCACCCCAATGTTGGAACAAGCTCCCTCACGACGCCAGGACAGCGGAGTCACTCATCACCTTCCGGAGACACTTGAAACCCCACCTATTTAAGGAATATCTAGGATAGGATAAAGTAATCCTTCTACCCCCCCCCCCCAAAAAAAACTATTGTAAAGATGTCATTTACAAAATAGACTCCAACACTCTACTCAGCAAATTGGATGTAGTCTATCACAGTGCCATCCGTTCTGTCACCAAAGCCCCATATACTACCCACCACTGTGACCTGTACACTCTTGTTGGCTGGTCCTCACTACATATTCGTCGCCAAACCCACTGGCTCCAGGCCATCTATAAATCACTGCTAGGCAAATCTCCGCCTTATCTTAGCTCATTGGTCACCATAGCAACACCCACCCGTAGTATGCGTTCCAGCAGGTATATCTCACTGGTCATCCCGTAGCTCAATTGTTAGAGCACGGCGCTTGTAACGCCAGGGTAGTGGGTTCGATCCCCGGGACCACCCATATGTAAAAATGTATGCGCACATGACTGTAAGTCGCTTTGGATAAAAGCGTCTGCTAAGTGGCATATTATATTATATTTATCCCCAAAGCCAACACCTCCTTTGGCCGCCATTCCTTCCAGTTCTCTGCTGCCAATGACTGGAACGAACTGCAAAAATCTCTGAAGCTGGAGACTCTTATCTCCCTCACTAACTTTAAGCATCAGTTGTCAGAGCACCTTACCGATCACTGCACCTGTACACAGCCCTTCTGAAATTAGCCCACTCAACTACCTCATCCCCATATTGTTATTTATTTTGCTCATTTGCACCCCAGTATCTCTATTTGCACATCATCTCTTGCACATCTATTATTCCAGTGTTAATACTAATTGTAATTATTTTGCACTATGGCCTATTTATTGCCTTACCTCCATAACTTACTACATTTGCACACACTGTATATATATTTTCTGTGGTATTTTTGACTTTATGGTTTGTTTTACCCCATATGTAACTCTGTGTTGTTGTTTTTATCGCACTGCTTTGCTTTATCTTGGCCAGGTCGCAGTTGTAAATGAGAACTTGTTCTCAACTGGCTTACCTGGTTAAATAAAGGTGAAATAAAAAAAATTTAAAAAAACCTAGACACACTGTAGAAGTGATGTTGCTGAAATGGGTATAGTTAGGCCCAGAACTGTTTTATTTTGGTGGGCTGGGCACAGGCAGAGCACTGCAGAATTCTTCTACATGTTGTCTCCACCAAGAGAAAGTGGATTCTGATTCCTTGCATTATGCAGAAGGTGGAATGGGGATATCTTTCACTGCCCAAACAGGCACTCGCACACCACAGTGGCAGACCTGGGTTCAAATGAAATTTAAAATAATTTAAAATACTTGATCTGTGCTTGATTGAACTCGCCTAGCTTAAAAGACAAATGGAATAGTCCCAAAACTGCAAATCCCAGCCCACCTGGTACTCCAGACAGGCTAGAGCAGACACTAAAAGTATCTGAATGATTTCAGTTAGTATTTGAACCCAGGTCTGCACGGCGGTAGCAAATGGGATTCCACGCTGCAGATATCGGGTGGAGTCGGCTTTCAGGCAGAAAGCACCAGCAGCAGTTTAGTCTCTGTAGCCTCTGTTGTTATGTAGCCTAGCTTAGCCTGTTGGTTCAGTCTATGTGCTGTCTATAGGAGTTGGCAAGACAGCACAAATAGATCTGGGACCAGGCTATGGTTTTGGAACCGAGTCTGTTTGTGTTTTAGCTAGCTCCTCTCTGTCTTTGTTCGTTCAACGTCATGACGAACATGAATGGCTCTTGACAGAGATAGAAGAGTTCCACCGCCTACAATACAGCACCAGGCTAATTGTGATGCCAGTCGTCTTTTAGCATTAGCTCAGTCCTCCTCTGGGGGGGGGGACATCCTGACTGATGTCTTGAGATGTTGCTTCAATATATATCCACATAATTTTCTTTCCTCATGATGCCATCTATTTTGTGAAGTGCACCAGTCCCTCCAGCAGCAAAGCACCCCCACAGCATGATGCTGCCACCCCCGTGCTTCACGGTTGGGATGGTGTTCTCCGGCTTGCAAGCCTTCCCCTTTTTCCTCCAAACATAACGATGGTCATTATGGGCAAACAGTTCTATTTTTGTTTCATCAGACCAGAGGACATTTCTCCAAAAAGTATGATCTTTGTCCCCATGTGCAGTTGCAAACCGTAGTCTGGCTTTTTTATGGCGGTTTTGGAGCAGTGGCTTCTTCCTTGCTGAGCGGCCTTTCAGGTTATGTCGATATAAGACTTGTTTTACTGTGGATATAGATACTTTTGTACCCGTTTCCTCCAGCATCTTCACAAGGTCCTTTGCTGCTGTTCTGGGTTTGATTTGCACTTTTCGCACCAAAGTACGTTCATCTCTAGGAGACAGAACGCGTCTCCTTCCTGAGCGGTATGACGGCTGTGTGGTCCCATGGTGTTTATACTTGCGTACTATTGTTTGTACAGATGAACGTGGTACCTTCAAGCGTTTGGAAATTACTCCCAAGGGTGAACCAGACTTGTGGAGGTCCACCATTTTTTTTCTGAGGTCTTGGCTGATTTCTTTAGATTTTCCCATGATGTCAAGCAAAGAGGCACTGAGTTTGAAGGTAGGCCTTGAAATCCATCCCACAGGTACACCTCCAATTGACTCAAATGATGTCAATTAGCCTATCAAAAGCTTCTAAAGCCATGACATCATTTTCTGGAATTTTCCAAGCTGTTTAAAGGCACAGTCAACTTAGTGTATGTGAACTTCTGACCCTCTGGAATTGTGATACAGTGAATTATAAGTGAAATAATCTGTCTGTAAACAATTGTTGGAAAAATTCCTTGTGTCATGCACAAAGTAGATGTCCTAACCGACCTGCCAAAACTATATTTTGTTAACAAGAAATTTGTGGAGTGGTTGAAAAACGAGTTTTAATGACTCCAACCTAAGTGTATGTACATTTCCGACTTCAACTGTATATATAGAGTCAGTTCCAGGGTCAGTTCCAATACCATATTAACAATGTGCAGGGATACTGGAGTGATGGAGGTAGATATGTATAGGGATAAGGGGACTAGGTATCAGAATATATGATAAACAGAGTAGCAGCAGCGTATATGATGATTGTATGTGAGTGTGTGTGTGTGTATGTATGTGAGCAAATTAAGTGTGTGTGTGTGTGTGTGTGTGTGTGTGTGTGTGTGTGTGTGTGTGTGTGTGTGTGTGTGTGTGTGAGTGAGTGTGAGTGAGTAGAGTCCTGTGAGTGTACATAGAGTCAGGTAAATGCATATAATTTAGTCCATGTAGCCATTTTGTTAGCTATTGAGCAGTCTTATGGCTTGGGGATAGAAGCTGTTCAGGAGCCTGTTGGTGTCAGACTTGTCGCTCCGGTACCCCTTGCCGTGCGGAAGCAGAGAGAATAGTCTATGGCTTGGGTGGCTGGAGTCTTTAACGATTGTCGGGGCCTTCCTACCACACCGCCTGATATAGAGGTCCTGGATGGCAGGGAGCTCGGCCCCAGTGATGTACTGGGCTGTCCGCATCACACTTTGTAGCGCCATGCGATCGAGGGGGGCGATGCAGTTGCCATACCAAGCAGTGATGCAGCCAGTCAAGATTCTCTCAATGGTGCAGCTGTATAACTTTTTGAGGATTTGAGGGCCCATGCCAAATATTTTCACTAGGGATTGACGTTCCGTCTGTGTTGTGGATAATACATCTGTCCCAGTCACACTGAAACACGTCACATGTCACAACACAGAGTTAAAGAGCCTTCCTGAGTTAATCCCAATCTGTTACTGCATTCCAAATAAAACAAGTAATTCATATTGTTATTATTGTGTGTACTATCAAATACCTGGTCATCTCTGTACTATAAAATCAACTACTACAATGTCTTCTTGATCGTCTCAGGTTACAGTCAGACCCTCTCCCAGTCCTCCACCTCTCCTGTGGAGGAACCCAGACAGGGGAACCAAACCTCTCCTTTCATGACTGAGGTGGAGAACCTGGAGCGGGAGCTATGGGAGATGGAGAGAGAGTCCAGCGGCCTCCCCATGGAGCCTGGCTATGACCAGAGCCAGGCCCTGCCTGCCACCACCACCATCCCTGCTGCTGACCCTGTGGCTCCTGTAGATTCAACCACCTTAGACCCACAATATGTCCCAGTACACGGGGGCCCGGAATCACCTCCTGGGGACACAGTGGAGGAAGAGGTAGCAGAGGAGGAGGAGGAGGAGGAGGAGGAGACGGATGGGGAGATGAAGAGGGAGAGTCCCACCACTGAGCCTGACGCCTCCATCGCCACCTCCAGACCCACCCTCCCAGAGGTGGGTGTCTTCCCCAGCTTTGGGCCCCTCCAGCCGGACAACACTCATACAGAAGGCCGGGAGGAGGTGGTGGAGGAAGAGGAGGCAGTGGTCCTTGGAGGACCTGGGAGTGACTGGGGAAGAGGAGGGAGAGGAGGGGACATCTCTCCCCTGACCACGGTCCCCTCTACTTCTCTGGCCCCCACGGTCGGCTTCACAGAGGACTCCTGGGATCGTCTAGAGGACGAGGAGGTGTTCCCTGGGAGGGAGGGCCAGGAGGAGGAGAGGAGGCAGGAGGAGGAGGAGCAGGAGGTCAAACATGGAGGAACAGAGCTGTATACAGAGGCAGAGCTCCTCCCCGGTGCACACTTCTCACAGGAGATACAGCAGGTACAGTGGTATCTCTCATGGAGTCCAGTAAACTATGATCATATGATGAGTAACCTGAGACCTGAAGACTTGTGTTAGCTCCCTGAGGTAATGCCCAAGCTTTAGCTCAGCGGGTTAACACAGTGTCGTGGCATGTAGGAGACTGGTTTGAACCCAATCTGTCACACTATGGAACTGTATATTTTGAGCGTTGCGATTGGTTGGTTTGACAACCTCTTACCAGCTCATATTAACTCCTCTCTTCGTGTAACCACCAGGTGATCTGTGTGGACTGGAGCGATCTGGCTGGGAAGGGCTACGTCATCCTCAACATGTCAGACAACGTTGACTGTGTGAGTACCACAACGTGACTAAATAGATCATACAGGTATTTTAAGAACCGTAATAATGCAGCGCTGTATTGCTGCTGTTGCTTAGACAATTCCCTACAATAATGTCATGCCCACTAGTTAAATCTATAATTGAATCAATATGGCATGATGGGATGCCATCAGATGGTAGCCTGGTTAAACCAGCCTGAACACTAGTGAAACTGTAGTGAGTGTAGTGTTCAGTCTGTTTTAACCAGGCTAGTCAATAGATTCAGACAACTCCATTGTTGTCCTTCACTGTGAGACAACCCAGGAGCTAGCAGACAGACAGACGGCAGCCCTTTCTGTCCTCTGACAGTCGGTCCTTAATCACAACATCCTCCTCGCCATCCATCACACCCCCTCCATCACCCAAAAGTCCCCCGTCACCATGGAAACAGCACAAAGCCATGCGATTATAATCAATGTGACCTTTTGGGTTGTCACGCCAACCGCTGCAGAGTAACCAGTAGGACCCAGCAGGGAGGAGGACAGAACTCAGATCCACAGAACGACACGTTTTGTTTTGGAAACAGCAGATCCTACACAGGAGTGTGAGGAAGTGGGATTAATTCAACACCATACTTGGCATGCCATACCAGATCAGGGGCGCAACGGGGGGGGTGGTGAGAGAGTGGTGGTCACGCCCGGAGCCGGATCCGCCTCCGAGGCGGAATGCCCACCCGGCCCCTACCCTCTTGTGTTTGGTTGGCGCGGTCGCAGTCCGCGCCTTTGGGGGGGGGGGGGTACTGTCACGCCCTGGCTCTGGGGACTCTTAAATGTTGAGCCAGGGTGTGGATTTTCATTGTTTAGTTTTCTATGTTTTTTTCGTTCTAGATCGTTTATATCTATGTTGGCCAGGGTGGTTCCCAATCAGAGACAGCTGTAGCTCGTTGTCTCTGATTGGGGACCATACTTAGGCAGCCTTTTGGCATGTTAGTTTTGTGGGATCTTGTTCCGTAAGGTTTTGTGTATAACCTAGGACTTCACGTATCGTTTCGTTTGTTGTTTTGGTTCGTTGTGTACACAAATAAAGAATGTACGCTTATCACGCTGCGCCTTGGTCCGCTTCATCTGTCAACAATCGTGACAGAAGATCCCACCACCAGAGGACCAAGCAGCGTGCCCAGGAGGAGAAGTTGGCGATGTCCCAGGTGGGCGAATGGTGGTCATGGGAGGACATATTCGCGGGCAGAGGGCCATGGGCAAAAGTAAATGCCCAGGCAGGAGAGGAGAAACGGCGCCAACCGTGCCGACGACGGACACGCGAGAGGCAACCCCAAGTCATTTTTTTTGGGGGGGGGGGCGGGCACACGCCGTGAACGACGGGGCTGCTGGAGGCAGCTACAGGGCGAATCGGCGGACTAGGAGAGGAGGCCACCAGGTTTGGGGGGCTGGAAGGGTGGTTGGCGGAGCCTAGAGGTAGAGCAGAGCCAACTCCCCGTACTCAGGCTAGGCAGCGTGAGACTAGGCAGGTTCCGTGTTATGCGGAGCCATGTACTGTGCCGCGAGTGTTCCGGCACAGTCCTGTACGTCCTGTGCTAGCACCACGCACGTGTCGTGCTAAGGTGGGCATGCAGCCAGGACGGAGTGTGCCGGCTCAACGCTCGTGGCCTCCAGTACCCCTTCTCGGTCCCGGATATCCTGCGCCAGTGCCACGTGCTGTAGTGCTAGTACGAGTGCACAGCCCTGTACATCCTGTGCTGATGCCTCACACAGATTGTGTGGAAATAGGCATTCAGCCAGGACGGGTTGTGTCAGCTCTCCGCTCCAGACCTCCAGTCCGTGTCCACAGTCCAGCCCAGCCTGTTCCTGTCCCTCGCACCAAGCCGGTGGTGCGCGTCGCCAGCCCGGTCCGTTCCTGCTCCCCGCACCAAGCCAGTGGTGCGCGTCGCCAGCCCGGTCCGGCCTGTTCCTGTCCCTCGCACCAAGCCTGTGGTGCGCGTCGCCAGCCCGGTCCGGCCTCCCCCCAAAGCCATGGTGCGCGTCGCAGCCCAGTCCGGCCCGTTCCTGCTCCCCGCACCAAGCCAGTGGTGCGCGTCCCAGCCCGGTCCGGCCCGTTCCTGTCTTCGCCAAGCTGTGGTGCCGCGCCAGCTCGGCCGCCGTCCAAGCACAAGTGTGGTGCGCGTCGCCAGCCCGTCCGGCTGTTCCTGCTCCCCGCCACCAAGACTGTGGTGCGCGTCGTCAGCCCGGTCCGGCCGTTCCATGCTCCCCGCACCAAGGCCTGTGGTGCGACGCGGTCGCAGCCCGGTCAGGCCCGTTCCGCTCCCCGCACCAAGCCAGTGTGCGCGTTGTCAGCACGGTCCGGACCAATTCCGCTCACGCACCAATCCAGTGGTGCGCTGGCGTCAGCCCGGTCCGGCCCCGTTTCCTGCTAGCCCGCCACCAAGACCAGTGGTGGCTCGTCTTCAGTCCGGCACGGCCTGTGCCTGTTCCACCGGTGCCTGGTCTGGCACCGGGCAGCTGCTCCATTCCGGAGCCAGAGCAATCCGCTCCACCGGTGTCCAGTCCAGCTCCGGCCAGCTGGGCCAGACCAGATCAGGGGCGCAACGGGGGGGTGGTGAGAGAGTGGTGGTCACGCCCGGAGCGGAATGCCCACCCGGCCCCTACCCTCTTGTGTTTGGTTGGCGCGGTCACAGTCCGCGCCTTTGGGGGGGGGGGGGTACTGTCACGCCCTGGCTCTGGGGACTCTTAAATGTTGAGCCAGGGTGTGGATTTTCATTGTTTAGTTTTCTATGTTTTTCGTTCTAGATCGTTTATATCTATGTTGGCCAGGGTGGTTCCCAATCAGAGACAGCTGTAGCTCGTTGTCTCTGATTGGGGACCATACTTAGGCAGCCTTTTGGCATGTTAGTTTTGTGGGATCTTGTTCCGTAAGGTTTTGTGTATAACCTAGGACATCACGTATCGTTTCGTTTGTTGTTTTGGTTCGTTGTGTACACAAATAAAGAATGTACGCTTATCACGCTGCGCCTTGGTCCGCTTCATCTGTCAACGATCGTGACAACATGCAATGACAACAACAGACAACATCACCACCCGACCTTCTCTTTTTACCTCCACTGTTAAACAGTTGCATATTTGTTTGTCTGTTTGTTTGTGTACTCTACCCTATCCTCAGGCCCCAGATCTGTTTTTGTTTCTGCTAGTTCCTTAACTTCATAGGAGTTGGCTAAAGCACACACCAAACTGATCTGACAACAACCAGGCTACCTGGTTCCCCTGTTTTCACTGTGACCGTGATCTCTGACCTCTACTGTTTTTGTTGTCAGGATGAGTTCCGTGTGGAGAGTGGGGGCCGGCTCCTGGAGCTACAACACTCTTAGAAAAAAGGGTTCCAAAAGGGTTCTTCAGCTGTCCCCATAGGAGAACCCTTTTTGATTCCACGTAGACCCCTCTGTAAAAATGGATCTACATGGGGTTCTACCTGGAACAAAAAGGGTTCTTCAAATGGTTTTCCTGTGTGGACAGCCAAAGAACCCTTTTAGGTTCTAGATACACTCTTAGAGGTGCTATCTAGAACCTAAAAGGGTTATTCGGCTGTCCCCGTAAAATAACACTTTGAAGAACCCTTTTTGGTTCCAGGTAGAACCATTTTGGTTCAAGGTAGAACTATTTTGGGTTCCATGACATGGAACCCAAAAGGGTTCTACCTGGAACCAAAAAGGGTTCTCCTATGGGGACAGCCGAAGAACCCTTTTGGAACCCTTTTGGAGTGTAGCTTTTAAGTGTAGAGACAGCATTATTTATCTAACTAACTAACTAACTCTGCCCTAAATCTAACCCTGTGACCTCTCTCTCCTCTGCCTCCTGGTCAGGATGAGTTCCGTGTGGAGAGTGGGGACCGTCTCCTGGAGCTACTAGAAACAGCCTTCTCTAGGAAGATGAACAGTCCTCAGGGCTCCTGGCTCATCTCTCTCTCTAAACCCACCAGGCAGGACCACCAGCTGCTCATCACACTGGCCAGCGAACACGGTAAGAGGACGACTACAGACATACAGTATGGCATCATTGGGTAGGACCTATGACTGTGGGTAGGACCCAGCTTTGCCAACAAAGAACTCTGGTCCCTTCAGTCAAGTTCCAGGCCTACTAATGGGCATAGTTTTACTGGAGTTCATTAGGGAATGTGTGATTTTGAGTTGAATTTTTCTGGAGTCTGTAGTACAGAACTGTACTTCACTTCTCAGAGGTTGCTCACATCAGGCTTGCTTACTTTGGCTTGTGCATATAATTGATTTATTTCTGAAATCTGCCTGTCTTTTAGGAGTCATTGCCACCAAGGATGTGCTGTCGATGTTAGGAGAGATAAGGAACGGTTTACACGAGGTAAGACACTTTTGTTCCTTGGAATTTACAACCTTATATTTTGTACATCTGTACAGTAGTTTGTTAGCCTGATCCACATAGTAGGAGTCGACTGAGCACATACAGCACCTCTGGGACCAGGCTAGTAATTCATCTGTCTGAATGAAACTGAACTGTTCCATATGTCTGGTTCTGGTTCCAGATCGGTATACAGAGCTACAGCAGTGCTAGCACCTGTCACTCCAGACCCAGTCAGACGCGTAGTGACTACGGGAAGCTGTTCGTGGTCCTGGTGATCATAGGTTCTGTCTGTGTGGTCATCATCGCCTCTGGTCTCATCTATATCTGCTGGCAGAGACGCCTGCCTAAGCTGAAGACTAGGGTAAGACCAGCTTGATAACTGCCTAAGCTGAAGACTAGGGTAAGACCAGCTTGATAACTGCCTAAGCTGAAGACTAGGGTAAGACCAGCTTGATAACTGCCTAAGCTGAAGACTAGGGTAAGACCAGCTTGATAACTGCCTAAGCTGAAGACTAGGGTAAGACCAGCTTGATAACTGCCTAAGCTGAAGACTATGGTAAGACCAGCTTAATTACTGCCTAAACTGAAGACTATGGTAAGACCAGCTTGATAACTGCCTAAGCTGAAGACTATGGTAAGACCAGCTTGATAACTGCCTAAGCTGAAGACTATGGTAAGACCAGCTTGATAACTGCCTAAGCTGAAGACTATGGTAAAACCAGCTTTGACGCCTGCGTAAATTGAAGACTATGGTAAGACCAGCTTGACAACTGCCTAAGCTGAAGACTATGGTAAGACCAGCTTTATGACTTAAATGGAAAGTACTAGTCAATGTAGAGGAGTTATTTGTGTGTTGTGCATACTACATACCACACACACACCTCATACACATGCATACTCCTATACTCACAAACACACTCGCACAGCCAACGCTCCTGTCCCATGCACTGTATATATGAAGAGATATTAAACACTGGACAGTTCCCGTTTCTTTTATACAGTTTCTCAAAATGTGTATTCATATAGTGTATTATTCACGTATCTTATTTAAGCAATTAGGCCCGAGGGGGTGTGGTATATGGCCAATATACCACGGCTAAGGGCTGTTCTTAGACACAACGCAACACGGAGTGCCTGGATACAGCCCTTAGCCGTGGTATATTGGCCATATATCACAAATCCCAGAGGAGCCTTATTGCTATTATAAACTGATTACCAACGTAATTAGAGCAGTATAAATAAATATTTTGTCATACCCATGGTATACGGTCTGATATACCATGGCTGTCAGCCAATCAGCATTCAGGGCTCTAACCACCCAGTTTATTGCATTATGTTACACTGTTTATACACACCGCATATTTATGTAGTGGATTCTTAACATAGTTCACTGTAATATATCTACTGCTGTACGTATCATTCTTAGTACATCTTGTTGGTGTACATACGCATAGATTGCATTTGTATTACTGATACAGTGTTATTTGGTTTGTTAATTGGATATTCGTTCAGACATTCTTGATTTCTTGTTTCTAGTTTTTGATTATTTGTATACTTGTTTGACATTTTACTGCACTGTTAGGAGCTAGTAACACAACAAGCATTTCACTGCACCCGCTATAACATCTGCTAAACTGTGTACGCGACACATAAACTTTGATTAGATTTTTATTTTATTTGACTAGAGTTTTACCAGTGCAACAAAATACTTGCATTCCAGTATGTTCATGTTTAAGTAATTCTATGTTTTTGATGTTATTTTTTTTTTCTTTCTCCTGTCTCTCCCAAGACTCGAGGCGAGGAGCTCCATTTTGTGGAGAATGGCTGCCATGACAACCCCAGCCTGGACGTGACGAGTGACGGGGGGCAGCCAGAGATGCAGGAGAAGAAACACCACCATTACCACCACGCTAACGGACTGACGGCTGGGACCGGGTCTGGGGGGATGGCCGGGGAGGAGGGAGGGAGCAGTGGCTGGCAGGTCCTGGTCAACAAACCTAGAGAGAAGGAAGAGGACACACACCTTTAGTAGAGAGAAGAAGAGTGGAAGTGGAGAATGGAAAAGGTAGCCTGGATCCAGATCTGTTTGTGCTGTCTTCCCAACTTACATTCACATTTACATTTTAGTCATTTAGCAGACGCTCTTATGCAGAGCGACTTACAGTTAGTGAGTGCATACATTTTTCATATTATATGTGATGTGTTGGTTTGGAATTTCATTATATATTGTGCAAAATGTCTTTGCAGTGTTGACAGAGATCATGGTCCAACTTCTATGGTCATTGTCACATTTGGCGTGGCAAGATGGCACAAACACATCTGGGAGTCGGATAAGGCTAGAAAGATAACTTGTGATGAAGAAGCAAAAAAACATCGTTGTTGTGAAACTTGTGAATGCATCGGCTGTCAAATTAGAAACACACATAAACTAAACTAATCAGAAGTCAACTACTTTAAAGCTACTTAGATGTTTTATCATTTGACTATGATTATATGATATGGACTTCATCTTCTCTGCTTTCTTTTCTTTGGCAACTAAGCATGATTCACATCTATTACTAAACGCTGTACAGCTAAAGGGACTTTTCAGAATGTTGAAACATTGAACCGTTCGAATATTCAACCAGAGTGAATAGAGGAGATATCCCTCTGTTACGAGTATGAATGTTTGTAGTGGAACTACTGAAGTTAGGATATTGTATTTAACGCGTTGAATGCAGACGTAAACGCTATGTGCTAGTTACTCTTTTATTATGTAAAGTTGGAATGGCTGCTCTGTATCTGGTCAGTTCACACTGATCTCAGTTCAAAATCACAATCATTTGGAAGCATCCATTACTCCCAGCCTCCTTACAATCAAGAATAAGTTAGCAGAGTAACTGTCTTGGTTGCCTGATCTGATTGCTTTAGCAAGGTTGGCTAAAGCACAATTAGCCAACCTTGCTAAAGGTGGTTGGCTAAAGCACAATTACATCTGGCAACCAGACTGCAAAACAACAGAGGGAGGCTGTCAATATTTATATTGCTTTCAGTTATAGTTATATATATATATATCACACTGAATTAATTCATCATAAGCACAGCAAATATTGTTTTGGGCTATTAACTGTAGAAGTGAAGGCCTGTAAATATGAATGTAATTTGAAGTCAAGCTGCTATAATTTATTATGTGGCGCTAATGACATTCTGTCATTTAAATGTGAACAATATATCTTCTCTGCCTGACAGTATTGCCACAGCTTCAAAATGGTGGGATATGTTTTTTAGTGCACAGTCAGCTTGAGCGCAGCTTTTTTCACAGACCTTTTTGAAAGGGAACAATATCACCAAGCAGGCATGCTGGCCTACGCTGTGCTTGGCCTATGAGTATTTGAAACGCTTAAATCAGTAATACAAGCTAAAACTGTTTTGCTTTCAAAGAAGGAATATTATATGGGAGGGATAGGCTAATAAACTAATGCTGTCCCCTCCTTGTTTGTTGTATTTTGCATGACTAGGCAAGCAGATATCCACTATGTGCTTCTCTTTAAAATCTGTATTGGAGGGTTGACTTCGCCCGGGTCGTGTTCATTAGGCACCAAATGGAAGAAAACTGACTGAATCAGGGAGGGGACTACCTGGCTTGTCCAATAAGAAACATACATTTTCATATGCCGTTGCAAGATGTTTTATTTTTTTTGTTAATTCCATTGCGTTCCCTAATGAACATGACCCAGGAAAGTTCAGAAAATAGGTCCGGATTTTCAGGATTCGTGGGTCTGAACCAATGATTTATATATACACTAGATGACTGACAGGGGGCGCTGTGTTGAAGCCACCGTGCCTCCATCTTGGCACTCCCTCACCGCTGTAAAAAAATATTTTGGAAGCTATAGAAATGCATTTATTAATGTCTACATTCGTTTTTGCCACATTCATTATATAACAGACACCTTTAATGCATACTTTTCAATTATATTATGTGAGATAAATATAAAATATACAGTACCAGTCAAAAGTTTGAACACACATACTCATTCAAGGGTTTTTCTTTATTTTTTACTATTTTCTACATTGTAGAATAATAGTGAAGACATCAAAACTATGAAATAACACATATGTAATCATGTAGTAACCAAAAGAGTGTTAAACAAATCAAAATATATTTTAGATTCTTCAAAGTAGCCACCCTTTACCTTGATGACAGATTTGCACACTCTTGGCATTCGCTCAACCAGCTTCACCTGGAATGCTTTTCCAACAGTCTTGAAGGAGTTCCCACATATGCTGAGCACTTGTTGGCTGCTTTTCCTTCACTCTGTGGTCCAACTCATCCCAAACCATCTCAATTGGGTTGAGGGTGGGTGATTGCCAGGTCATCTGATTCAGCACTCCATCACTCTCTCTTGGTCAAATAGCCCTTACACAGCCTGGAGGTGTGTTGGGTCATCGTCCTGTTGAAAAACAAACGATAGTCCCACTAAGCACAAACAAGATGGGATGGCGTATCGCTGCAGAATGCTGTGGTAGCCATGCTGGTTAAGTGTGCCTTGAATTGTAAATAAATCACAGATAGTGTCACCACCAAAGCACCCCCACACCATCACACCTCCTCCTCCATGTTCACGGTGGGAACCACACATGCGGAGATCATCCATTCACCTACTCTGCGTCTCGGCCCAAGCAAGTCTCTTCTTCTTATTGGTGTCCTTTAGTAGTGGTTTCTTTGCAGCAATTTGACCATAAAGGCCTGATTCACGCAGTCTCCTCTGAACAGTTGATGTTGAGATGTGTCTGTTACATGAACTCATTTATTTGGGCTGCAATTTCTGAGGCTGGTAACTCTAATGAACGTATCCTCTGCAGCAGAGGTAACTCTGGGTCTTCCTTTCCTGTGGCGGTCCTCATGAGAGCCACTTTCATTATAGGGCTTGATGGTTTTTGCAACTGCACTTGAAGAAACTTTCAAAGTTCTTGGAAATGTTCCGTATTGACTGACCTTCATGTCTTAAAGTAATGACTTTCGTTTCTCTTTGCTTATTTGAGCTGTTCTTGCCATAATATGGACTTGGTCTTTTACCAAATAGGGCTATCTTCTGTATACCACCCCTACCTTGTCACAACACAACTGATTGGCTCAAACGCATTAAGAAGGAAATCAATTACACAAATTAACTTTAAACAAGGCACACCTGTTAATTGAAATGCATTCCAGGTGACTACCTCATGAAGCTGGTTGAGAGAATGCCAAGAGTGTGCAAAGCTGCCATCAAGGTAAAGGGTGGCTACTTTGAAGAATCTAAAATATATTTTGATTTGTTTAACACTTTTTTGGTTACTACATGATTCCATGTGTTATTTCATAGTTTTGATGTCCTCACTATTATTCTACAATGTAGAAAATAGTAAAAAAAAAAAAAAAATAATCCTTGATTGAGTAAGTGTTTCCAAACTTTTGACTGGTACTGTATATATAAAAAAAAAACATACTTTTTAAGAGATTACTAATGTTACTGTCCCCACTAAAACAAAATGACTTACAAATGTAATTTCGTCTTTGAAACATTTATTTGAAATACTATAGAATTCTATTCATTCCTATGGAGGACTGCTCCTACTGGGAATTGCCAATATGGCCAACCGTTGGCTTCAAAGCCTCTGGTCTGGGAAACCAGCCGTAGGTCTGTGTGGGCAGCTCAATGTATTGTTCGTGGTGTTGTCTCTATCCACTTGAAAGCCACACTTAGACAAGTGTGGCTCAGTGTCGTTAAAATGTCGATGTTATTGATGAAGTAACATCTCATCTTTCAATTTAAGTGTCATCAAGTTTTGTGTGTGTTATTTCTGTTATAAGAAACACTAACCTTGTCCCTAGGCTCCATTGCTACGACAGAGAGAGTCGGCTGGAGACGAGATTAGAAGTGTACTGAATCTTTGTTATTTAGATTGATAAATTAACATGATTTCTTATTTTTCCCTAAACGTTAGTTTTCATAAATGTTTCACTGTTTTGATCTATGTATAATGTAATGTATAGGAAATAAACGTTTGGGAAATGTGGCTTTGGTAGGACTGTTTACAGCCTATGTGATATTGTAAAACGCTACAATAGCACCATCTAGTGTATACTATAAAAGTAACCTCCCTGTTCTGGAAGCATGTGCGCGTGAATCTGATTATTCAGGACTTTTTGATGATGCCAGCTGATTGGTTGATGATGGCTTGACGATGCCAGCTGATTGGTTGATGATGGCTTGAGGATGGCCCAATATATGATAAGAAACAATGTCAACAAGGTTTTGTTTGCTTTATTTTATTGTCCATTTGACACATGGGTGAGTTAACAATAAAAAAACACTTTTGTGGTTCATCACATCTAAAAATGTGTTATCAATGTATTTCCAGGGTTTTTTCTGGATCCAAATGGGGCTTAGGCGGTGGGTGTTTTTAAAGCAAATTCTTCACATTTTGCCATGTAGCGGAGATAAAATGTTGCAGTTTTAAAGCAAATTTCCTGCAATTCTACATATCTTTCCATGGGCTGAGAGAAAAATGTGTAGTTTTAAAGCTAATTCTACACATTTTGACATGGCTTATGCTATATGAGTGACTCATGTTATAACAAAATGGCCCCATGCAATGACAAACATACTCCTGAATGCATCATTTGGGGAATTTTTAATTCTCCCAGGCTAACTTTTATTTTGGTGAATGTTAGTTATTAAAAATATATAGGTCTGTTATTTTCTACATTCTTTAGATCTGGTTTTAGTTGTTTAAGTTTACACTGAAAACGTTTTACCATTCCGAAAAACCCTTAGACCAAGACTTTTCTATGCATAAAAAAAGATGATTTCATAAAGATTTGTGTGCAGGCAGTTTTGCTCTGTTTATGTTTCAGTCATGTTGTTGTAATGGTTCTCACATGGAAGGCAGTAGAATTGACATATTTTCCCATTAATAAAACACTGCATCATAACATCCAATGGTATAACATTTAAACAAACATTTTAAAAACAATACAAAGTTCTCAAGACTTGAAATCACATCAAAAAGGGTAACCCTTTTACAATAATATCATACAAAAGCAACAACTTGCATCAACTGCAATAACCACTGATTCCAACAATAGTTTTTACAGCTACAATCAGAGCTCAAATACAAATGTAAATTTCACAGAAAGTACATACAGTTGTTTTACATTAGCAAAGGTACATAGACTAGAATCAATTGTAAATCTAATCAAAATAATAATTTTGCACGAATATACCATCCAGACCTGTGAAGACAGCAGCATAGTTGTAGATGAGAGCCCTCTCCTCCTCACTGGCTGAAGAGAACTTGTGATGATTCTTCATGGCTGTGATCAGGAGGATGAGTAGAAGAACAGAAGATGTTAGCTAACTGTGTTTAATGCTAGCCTGCGCCCAGCTCTACAGGCCTACTGGATGTGCTGTAGCCAACCATTCTCTTGCATTACAATGATAGTCAAAAGGAGGAGTTAAATTAAAGCACAACCACATGGGACCATATGGTTGCGCTGCTGCAGGTGTCCCATGGTTACGACACTCACTTGATGGCATGTACAGGTTAATGGTCCAACACAGCTACAGTCCAATAACTGGACTATCATCTACAGTCACTCCCCAGGCCAGCATTGTACAGTCTAATAACTCATCTACAGTCACTCACCAGGCCAGCATTGTACAGTCTAATAACTCATCTACAGTCACTCCCCAGGCCAGTATTGTACAGTCTAATAACTGGACTATCATCTACAGTCACTCACCAGGCCAGCATTGTACAGTCTAATAACTCATCTACAGTCGCTCACCAGGCCAGCATTGTACAGTCTAATAACTCATCTACAGTCACTCCCCAGGCCAGTATTGTACAGTCTAATAACTCATCTACAGTCACTCCCCAGGCCAGCATTGTACAGTCTAATAACTCATCTACAGTCGCTCACCAGGCCAGCATTGTACAGTCTAATAACTCATCTACAGTCACTCCCCAGGCCAGCATTGTACAGTCTAATAACTCATCTACAGTCACTCCCCAGGCCAGCATTGTACAGTCTAATAACTCATCTACAGTCACTCACCAGGCCAGCATTGTACAGTCTAATAACTCATCTACAGTCACTCACCAGGCCAGCATTGTACAGTCTAATAACTCATCTACAGTCACTCACCAGGCCAGCATTGCAAATAAGAATTTGTTCTTAACTGATTTGCCTGGTTAAAGAAAAGTGGACTAAAATAACTCACCCTCGGAGACAAAGAAGTGTGCTGTGTAGAAGGATGCTCTGATGGAGGCAGCAGAGTGGACCATGCCTGGCTTATCTACCCACTCAAAGGGACTCTTCTCAGGGTGCCACTGGACAGCATAGAACGGATAGCGATTCGCTACCAGACAGGAAACAGATTAAAAATGTACAATCTAGGCACTAGTTACAGTATAGCCACTGGAACATCATATAAATGGGTAGCGATTCCCTACAACAAGAAAGCAGACCAATGAAAACGTTCAGCATGTCAATAGAACCTCTAGGCTCCAGTTACAGTGTGGCTAACTAGGACCTGGGGTCTTGTGATTGATTGATAATCAATACACTGAGGTGAATGCATTTTACACACCGGCCGCTGCAGGGATCCCATGGTTACATCACTCACTTGATGGCCAAATGAACCTTGTGACCTAAAGTCTCTCTAGCCATGCTCAGACACTGTACAGTACCTTCCATGGTAGAAATGAACTGTCTCCTTCCGTCTGTGTTGGTGGTCAGAACCTTGTAGAAACGTTTCAGTTTGGAATTCCGGCTGTAGTTCTGGTGACATGAATCATAACGTTGATGACTTATTTTGTAATGTTCCGGAATCAAAAAGGTTACAGTAATATACAGTGGCAAGAAAAATGATGTGAACATTTTTGGAATGACCTGGATTTCTGCATAAATTGGTCATAAAATGTGATCTGATCTTCATCTAAGTCCCAACAATAGACGAACACAGTGTGCTTAAACTAATAACACACAAACAATTATACGTTTTCATGTCTTTATTGAACACACTGTGTAAACATTCACATTGCAGGGTGGGAAAAGTATGTGGACCCTTGGATTTAATAACTGGTTGACCCTCCTTTGGCAGCAATAACCTCAACCAAACGTTTTCTGTAGGTTGCGGATCAGACCTGCACAACAGTCAGGAGGAATTTTGGACCATTCCTCTTTACAAAACTGTTTCAGTTCAGCAATATTCTTGGGATGTCTGGTGTGAACCGCTCTCTTGAGGTCATGCCACAGCATCTCAATCGGGTTGAGGTCAGGAGTCTGACTGGGCCACTCCAGAAGGCGTAGTTTCTTCTTTTGAAGCCATTCTGTTGTTCATTTACTTCTGTGTTTTGGGTCGTTGTCCTGCTGCATCACCCAACTTCTGTTGAGCTTCAATTGGTGGACAGATAGCCTTACATTCTCCTGCAAAATGTCTTGATAAACTTGGGAATTCATTTTTCTGTCGATGATAGCAAGCTGTCCAGGCCCTGAGGCAGCAAAGCAGCCCCAAACCATGATGCTCCCTCCATCATCCTTTACAGTTGGGATGAGGTTTTGATGTTGGTGTGCTGTGCCTTTTTTTCTCCACACATAATGTTGTTTGTCCCTTCCAAACAACTCAACTTTAGTTTCATCTGTCCACAGAATATTTTGCCAGTAGCGCTGTGGTACATCCAGGTGCTCTTTTGCTAACTTCAGACATGTAGCAATGGTTTTTTTTGGACAGCAGTGGCTTCTTCCGTGGTGTCCTCCCATGAACACCATTCTTGTTTAGTGTTTTACGTATCGTAGACTCGTCAACAGAGATGTTAGCATGTTCCAGAGACTTCTGTAAGTCTTTAGCTGACACTATAGGATTGTTCTTAACCTCATTGAGCATTCTGCGCTGTGCTCTTGCAGTCATCTTTGCAGGACGGCCACTCCTAGGGAGAGTAGCAACAGCGCTGAACTTTCTCCATTTATAAACAATTTGTCTTACCGTGGACTGATGAACATCAAGGCTTTTAGAGATACTTTTGTAACCCTTTCCAGCTTTATGCAAGTCAACAATTCTTAATCTTAGGTCTTCTGAGATCTCTTTTGTTTGAGGCATGGTTCACATCAGGCAATGCTTCTTGTGAATAGCAAACATCTCCAATCTCGTCTCATTGATTGGACTCCAGGTTAGCTGACTCCTGACTTCAATTAGCTTTTGGAGAAGTCATTAGCCTAAGGGTTCACATACTTTTTCCAAACTACACTGTGAATGTTTAAATGATGTATTCAATATAGACAAGACAAATACAATAATTTGTGTGTTATTAATTTAAGCACACTGTGTTTGTCTGTTGTTGTAACAGATGAAGATCAGATCACATTTTATGACCAATTTATGCAGAAATCCAGGTAATTCCAAAAGGTTCACATACTTTTTCTTGCCACTGTTATTAAATAGAACACATAATTTAATGTATCTCTATGTTACACTATAGTGATGCTGAGAAATACATGTCTTGCTCTAGTCTAGGTCATGGGAGAACAGAAGAGGATAGAACAAGATATATTCTGGTAACTGACGCACAGACATTCAAAAGTGTTTTCAGATAGCTTCAGACAGGGACTGCTTGAGGTGGTATTATGATGCAGTGGTTTGAACTATGATTTTAATTCTCAGAAACAGTATTACTTGTTCTGTCCTTTTTTACCCTCCCTTCCCTAAAGCAAGTCTGTAAGCAGTCAGTCAGAACCTGTAGTCAGTCAGTCATTCAGTCAGTCAGTCAGAACCTGTAGTCAGTCAGTCAGAACCTGTAGTCAGTCAGTCAGCCAGTCAGAACCTGTAGTCAGTCAGTCAGCCAGTCAGAACCTGTAGTCAGTCAGTCAGAACCTGTAGTCAGTCAGTCAGCCAGTCAGAACCTGTAGTCAGTCAATCAGAACCTGTAGTCATTCAGTCAGTCAGTCAGAACCTGTAGTCAGTAAGCAGTCAGTCAGAACCTGTAGTCAGTAAACAGTCGTTCAGAACCTGTAGTCAGTAAGCAGTCAGTCAGAACCTGTAGTCAGTCAGCCAGTCAGAACGTGTAGTCAGTCAGAACCTGTAGTCAGAAAGTAATTCAGTCAGCCAGTCAGTCAGAACCTGTAGTTAGTAAGTCCGTCAGTAAGCAGTCAGTCAGAAACCTGTAGTCAGTAGTCAGAACGTAGTCAGTCATCAGTCAGCCAGTCAGTCAGAACCTGTAGTTAGTAAGCAGTCAGTCAGAACTGTAAGTCAGTCAGTCAGAACCTGTAGTCAGTCAGTCAGCCAGTCAGTCAGTCAGTCAGAACCTGTAGTCAGTCAGTCAGCCAGAACCTGTAGTCAGTAAGTCATTCTGTCAGTCAGAACCTGGAGTCCAGTAGCAGTCCAGTCAGTAACTGTAGTCAGACCGTCAGAACCTGTAGTTAGTAAGTCATTCAGTCAGAACGAGTCATAGTGGTCAGAACCTGTAGTTGTAGTCGTAAGTCAGTCAGAACTGAGTCAGTACCAGTCGTCAGAACCTGTAGTGCAGTAGCAGTCAGACTGTCAGCAAGTCAGTCAGTCAGAACCTGTAGTCAGTCAGTCAGCCAGCCAGAACCTGTAGTCAGTAAGTCATTCAGTCAGCCAGTCAGTCAGAACCTGTAGTTAGTAAGTCAGTCAGTAAGCAGTCAGTCAGAACCTGTAGACAGTAAGTCATTCAGTCAGCCAGTCAGAACCTGTAGTCAGTCAGTAAGCAGTCAGTCAGAACCTGTAGTCAGTCAGTCAGCAAGTCAGTCAGTCAGAACCTGTAGTCAGTCAGTCAGCCAGAACCTGTAGTCAGTAAGTCATTCTGTCAGTCAGAACCTGGAGTCAGTAAGTCCGTCAGTAAGCAGTCAGTCAGAACCTGTAGTTAGTAAGTCATTCAGTCAGCCAGTCAGTCAGAACCTGTAGTTAGTAAGTCAGTCAGTAAGCAGTCAGTCAGAACCTGTAGTCAGTCAGTCAGCAAGTCAGTCAGTCAGAACCTGTAGTCAGTCAGTCAGCCAGAACCTGTAGTCAGTAAGTCATTCAGTCAGCCAGTCAGTCAGTACCTGTAGTTAGTCAGTCAGTAAGCAGTCAGTCAGAACCTGTAGTTAGTCAGTCAGTCAGAACGTAGTCAGTCAGTACCTGTAGTCAGTCAGTCCATCAGTCAGTCAGAACCTGTAGTCAGTCAGTGAGTAAGTAGTCAGTCAGTACCTGTAGTCAGTCAGTCAGTAAGTAGTCAGTCAGTACCTGTAGTCAGTCAGAACCTGTAGTCAGTAAGTAGTCAGTCAGTACCTGTAGTCAGTCAGTCAGTAGTCAGTCAGAACCTGTAGTATGTCAGTCAGTAAGTAGTCAGTCAGAACCTAGTCAGTCAGTCAGTACCTGTAGCGATAGACTCCAGCTGTGGAAGTTGGAGGTGATGTTGTCTTCTGACAGAGACTGGAGCAGGTCTCTGGGAAAGGCCTTGAACAGGCGGCTGTTCTGGGAAGCTGTGTCAAAACAAACATAACGAAACCCCTAAAGCTAGAATCCTTAGTTGCTACATCAAGTTTTTGACTGATAAAGTAATGATATACACTACCTTTCAAAAGTTTGGGGTCACTTAGAAATGTCCTTGTTTTCCATGAAAACATACATGAAATGAGTTTGAATAGGAAATATAGCAAAATGCATAGGAAATGTAGTCATTGACAAGGTTAGAAATAATGATTTTTAATGGAAATAATCAGTGTCCTTCAAACTTTGCTTTCGTCAAAGAATCCTCCATTTGCAGCAATTACAGCCTTGCAGACCTTTGGCATTCTAGTTGTCAATTTGTTGAGGTAATCTGAAGAGATTTCACCCCATGCTTCCTGAAGCACCTCCCACAAGTTGTATTGGCTTGATGGGCACTTCTTACATACCATACGGTCAAGCTGCTCCCACAACAGCTCAATAGGGTTGAGATCCAGTGACTGTGCTGGCCACTCCATTATAGACAGAATACCAGCTGACTGCTTCTTCCCTAAATAGTTATTGCATAGCTTGGAGCTGTGCTTTGGGTCATTGTCCTGTTGTAGAAGGAAATTGGCTCCAATCAAGCGCCGTCCACAGGGTATGGCATGGCGTTGCAAAATGGAGTGATAGCCTTCCTTCTTCAAGATCCCTTTTACACTGTACAAATCTCCCACTTTACCACCACCAAAGCACCCCCAGACCATCACATTGCCTCCACCATGCTTGACAGATGGCATCAAGCTCTCCTCCAGCATCTTTTTATTTGGTCTGCGTCTCACAAATGTTCTTCTTTGTGATCCGAACTCCTCAAACTTAGATTTGTCTGTCCATAACACTTTCATCCAATCTTCCTCTGTCCAGTGTCTGTGTTCTTTTGCCCATCTTAATCTTTTATTTTTATTGTCCAGTCTGAGATATGGCTTTTTCTTTGCAACTCTGCCTAGAAGGTCAGCATCCCGGAGTCGCCTCTCCACTGTTGACGTTGAGACTGGTGTTTTGCGGGTACTATTTAATGAAGCTGCCAGATGAGGACCTGTGTCTGTTTCTCAAACTAGACACTAATGTATTTGTCCTCTTGCTCAGTTGTGCACCGGGACCTCCCACTCCTCTTTCTATTCTGGTTAGAGCCAGTTTGCGCTGTTCTGTTAAGGGAGTAGTACACAGCGTTGTACGAGATCTTCAGTTTCTAGGCAATTTCTCGCATGGAATAGCCTTCATTTCTCATAACAAGTATAGACTGACGAGTTTCAGAAGAAAGTTCTTTGTTTCTGGCCATATTGAGCCTGTAATCGAACCCATAATTGCTGATGCTCCAGATCCTCAACTAATCTCAAGAAGGCCAGTTTTATTGCTTCGTTAATCAGCACAACAGTTTTCAGCTGTGCTATCATAATTGCAAAAGGGTTTTCTAATGATCAATTAGCCTTTTAAAATGATGAACTTGGATTAGCAAACAACATGCCATTGGAACACAGGACTGATGGTTGCTGATAATGGTCCTCTGTACGCCTATGTAGATATTCCATTAAAAATCAGCCGTTTCCAGCTACAATAGCCATTTACAACATTAACAATGTCTACACTGTATTTCTGATCAATTTGATGTTAATTTAATGGCCAAAAGAATGGCTTTTCTTTCAAAAACAAGGACATTTCTAAGTGACCCCAGACTTTTGAACGGTAGTGTATACCCATTGATTCTTGAAGAATATAACGTATAAATGCCTTATAAAAGCTTAGTTCAACTGCCGTACCCCATCAGAACCCAAAATATAAGCTTTTTCTGCGCCAATATTTGTAAACAACTTAAATGTAAACAAACACTCTTAGCCTCAAAACATGGTTAAAACGATCATTTTGATAACATGGATGGTCAGTCCTTGCATCCATAGCTCTGTCTATGAATTTGAAAGCGGTTAGTTAAATCCTGGCCCATCCCTCAGCTTTTTACCAAAACAGAGGTGGGGTGACCGCTTTGTTATTGTTTCAACTGCAGAGGCCGAAAATCCATTGGCAAGATCAATTATCAGTTCATTTTGGTCAAGAGGACTTTATCATTTAGGCAGGCAATGTAAAACGCAATGTCAAATGCTTTAAAACGTCCAGGTAGTCCCTCCTGGTTTCAGTCAGTTTTGTTTACTATTTGGTGCCCAATGAACACGATCTTGTACTCCTATGAGGGAAAACTTGGTCTGTGCAGTGTACAGGTCCAATATCAATATTCATAGACAAACACAGGCCTATACACATACAGCATGCAGAAACACAGTGTTGTCTCTGACCTGGGGTGAATGTGAGCGGCAGGGCCACAGCCTTGGTCTCTGTCAGAGTCAGAAGGTTCTTGTTGCTGGTCAGTACTGTCATCTGCTGGAAGCCCTGGCACGTGCCCCATATGGGGAAGTAATCCGACGCATCGTTGGCCTGGAAGACAATGACAAAACAAGAGCATGAAACAACAGGAGTACTGCTCAACAGGAGGACTGCTCAACAGGAGGACTGCTCAACAGGAGGACTGCTCAACAGGAGTATTGCTCAACAGGAGTACTGCTCAACAGGAGTATTGCTCAACAGGAGTATTGCTCAACAGGAGTATTGCTCAACAGGTGCTGCTCAACAGGTAGAAGTAATATAGTGGAAGCTGAACCACTAAACTGCTTATACCTATTCAGATCTGTAAACATAGAAAGGTTAGGGACAACGGGAAGAGGTAGGGAGCAAAATGGAACCCGCTGTTAGTGTCTTCAACTGTGGGTACCATATTTGGATATTTAACTGTTGATTAATTCTTTGAAACCATTTTATAGTTATTGAAAACAATTAAATACATTTATCGTCAATGAAGGATAAAAAACCAAATAGCATTTTGGTGGGTATGGAATTGATACATTGATTGTATTATGTACCTTGATAGCCAGATCATAGAAGATCTTTGACAGTCGACTGAACTGGGACGTCTGCAGGTCTACATCCCCTCCTGGTAGCAGCAGCCTAACACAACCAATCAATCAATCACAATGAAGTAAACAATCAACCAACCAATCAACCAATTAATCTAAATCAAAATCAATCAACCAAGCAAGCAAACAATTAAGCAAAATCAATCAACCAAGCAAACAATTAATCAAAATCAATCAATCAATCAGAAACATTCAAATAGCCTATAGTCCTTCACATTTTAATTATTCCCATGAAGGTATCTGATTACAGTTATATAATAAGTGAACAATAATTTCACTCACCCGTTTATTGAGTTAAATATCTTCTCATACTCTTCATCTGTTCTGTTTATTCTATTAGAGGAAGGAAGGAAGTAAATTATTACAAGCAGCCAACAACACTCAACAGACACTGAGAAAAAACAGTGAGGTGGATTTCAAAGCCTTTCATCATGCCTTGTCTCCTAGTAAATCACTATGCTTTGGCTTACCCGGGATAATGCACTGGCATTCTAGAGACCCCGGGATAATGCACTGGCATTCTAGAGACCCCGGGATAATGCACTGGCATTCTAGAGACCCCGGTTCGAAGCGCGTCAGTCACACATACCTTATGGGGACAACCCTGGCTCCAGCGCTCTCCAGGTACTTTACATAGGAAGCAGCGATGTAGGAGGATCCCTGAGCATGAGGGTCTCCCACTATGTTCTCCTGGGCCAGGACTCCTGAAATAACAATACACTTTACATTACATTAAATTTCACTTAACATTACAATTCACTTTACATGACAATACACTTTACATTACAACATCACATTGTACATTACAATACACTTTACATTACAATACAACACATTACACTTTACATTACAACAACAGATTACATTACACTTTACATTACAGTACAACAACAAGACTAGCATCCTGTCCAGGGGATGTAGTTGTACATCAAGTTGCCTCACGCTACAGAAACAGGAGATAGGCTCCTGCCCTATGGGCCGTTCTGGCTTGGACAAGACTTACAACAAGACCACTCTTTTGAAAAATACGAAACCAGCAACCCAGCCACTTGGTCTGCTGTAAAGCTGAGGGATGGCCTTAATGTAAAGAGGTGTGGTTAATAGAACCATCATCATCTCACAGATTCATTGCTTGTCTTAACTGTCCTCTCTCTCAGTCATGATTGGCAACGTCTATAGGCGATTTCAAGAGTCTATTTAGTTGCTTAGCCTACATTATTTTGGGGCATTTACATATATAAACTGCTTTAAAACCTACTTTCACAAAACCTGCTTTGTTGCTAGAAACCTTTATTCATGAATGCCATTAACCTTACTTGGCTACACAAAAGGAACTCCCTATGTAAATATTGAGTAGTCTATAATTATACAATGGCTACACGAGGAATCGTGTTGATCAATGAAAAACATGAAATCTAAGAGTTTTTTAAATAATCTATACAATCTACAGTCAAGATGTCATTCTGAAGTGAGAGTTCATCCTTTCCACTTCCCATAAAATTGACAGTTTCATGCTGACATTGGTACAATATGGTCCCAGAACATTCTAGAATAAAACAGATCAAGACATTACATAATGAGCATTTCTGAGATACATACATACCCATTCACCCTACATGGATTTCAAATGGCTTACCAATGATTGGTCTGTAATTTAGATGGTCACTACAAGCCACCGGGAGAGGCACACCGCAAAGGCAAGCGGCCAGCACCGCAAGAACCGCAACCGGATAACTCATTCACCTCGGATAGCGTACCACACTAACATAAAATAAATCTAATTCGTAGACACTCTTGTCCTCCTGCTGAAATGATCAGCAGCGCCGTATGATGATGGTCTCGGTGAGAAGGATGATGAGGTGGGTAGCCTACTACGGTTGCATGACTAATCCCTGGATTCTACACAGAAGCAGCTGTCGATTCTCTCGCGCGTGGCGAGGACATGCGGGAAAAATCGCATATCGGTTTCAGTCACGTGTGCAATCATGAAAACCAACCTAATGACAAAAATCATATGGACATGCGACATATCTCAACCAGGCTATAACACAAAAGGCAAAGGCTAAAGTATGCTATTAATAACATGAAAGGAAGGGAAAATTGCACATTCAATAAACTTTCGACCTCCCAAATCTGAGACACTCTGGAACGCACCCATCGTGGTTTTGCGGGGCGCTTTTGCATTGACTGACTTTTTTTTTTTCAGGGTAGAGCTGACTTAGGAACTATTCTACACAAGTTATGACAAATTATTCATCACCATTAATGAAATCCACATTATTGACATTTGTAGGATACTGAATGTACGCAGCGCTGGTACTCTGCATGTTCATCTCATGTAAGCCTACTTGCTTCGCAGTCTACTTCTGTGAACAAATCGAACATACCCTTTCACCACAAGGAATTCTGGGAAATTGTTAAAAAATGGCGGATGAAGTTGAACAGGTTGGCGTTAGCTAAACGTTTTATTGTCAATCTTTCTCTGTGCAAAACATTTATTTAGATTCGAGTAGAGAAATAGACTTGTACACCAGTTTATATCAGTATATTACGGCAACCAGCTAGCCAACAGCATCATTGCAAAAACATGGGTGGGGACTTTATTTGTGGAGGACAACAGTGGCTAGCTAGCATGGTAATTAGCTAGCTAGTTAGCAGCTGTCGCTATCAAACAAGCGTAGTAAGCTAGCATATTAGCTAGTTCGCTAACTAGACACGAATGTTGCATACAATCGAATTTCCCCCCCCAGGGCTTTATTGTTACATTAAATGTATTCAAATCTATAGTCTATGGATGAAAAGTGATTCTAACCCCAGTTAGGCTACTTATTGACAACCATGAACACTAGCTAGCTTACTATTTAGCATGAAACCGACATCTAGTGTGAACAACTCCTTTCCCCATTTACTTTCTGTTGCAGCAAACGACCACCAACACAGTGGAGGAGCCCCTGGATCTGATCCGGCTCAGTTTGGATGAGAGGATATATGTTAAGATGCGAAACGACCGAGAACTCAGGGGCAGATTGAATGTAGGTAGTTGTAAGACAGTGGTGATCATCTTGGTTGCTTTTGTAATGTTGCCAAACGTTTGAACAATGATGTATTCTAATGTGTATAGCTGTCGTCCTGAGTGTGAGCATTTGCACCTTGTCTCGCCAAACTATAGGCCTGCATAAGTCTAATGCGGTTTGTCTTTTTTCCAGGCCTACGATCAGCACTTGAACATGATCTTGGGAGATGTGGAGGAGACGGTGACAACAGTAGAGATTGATGAGGAGACATATGAAGAAATTTATAAGGTATGAAAAAGGGCATCCACCACCTTCTCAACTGCAGAAATTTCTTTAGTGCAGGGTTCTCCAACCCTGTTCCTGGAGAGCTACCCTCCTGTAGGTTTTAACTCCAACCCTGTTCCTGGAGAGCTACCCTCCTGTAGGTTTGAACTCCAACCCTGTTCCTGGAGAGCTACCCTCCTGTAGGTTTTAACTCCAACCCTGTTCCTGGAGAGCTACCCTCCTGTAGGTTTTAACTCCAACCCTGTTCCTGGAGAGCTACCCTCCTGTAGGTTTTAACTCCAACCCTGTTCCTGGAGAGCTACCCTCCTGTAGGTTTACGCTCCAACCCTGTTCCTGGAGAGCTACCCTCCTGTAGGTTTTAACTCCAACCCTGTTCCTGGAGAGCTACCCTCCCGTATGTTTACCCTCCAACCCTGTTCCTGGAGAGCTACCCTCCTGTAGGTTTACCCTCCAACCCTGTTCCTGGAGAGCTACCCTCCTGTAGGTTTGAACTCCAACCCTGTTCCTGGAGAGTTACCCTTCTGTAGGTTTGAACTCCAACCCTGTTCCTGGAGAGCCACCCTCCTGTAGGTTTGAACTCCAACCCTGTTCCTGGAGAGCGACCCTCCTGTAGGTTTGAACTCCAACCCTGTTCCTGGAGAGATACCCTCCTGTAGGTTTTAACTCCAACCCTGTTCCTGGAGAGCTACCCTCCTGTAGGTTTGAACTCCAACCCTGTTCCTGGAGAGCGACCCTCCTGTAGGTTTTAACTCCAACCCTGTTCCTGGAGAGCTACCCTCCTGTAGGTTTGAACTCCAACCCTGTTCCTGGAGAGCGACCCTCCTGTAGGTTTTAACTCCAACCCTGTTCCTGGAGAGCTACCCTCCTGTAGGTTTGAACTCCAACCCTGTTCCTGGAGAGCTACCCTCCTGTAGGTTTTAACTCCAACCCTGTTCCTGGAGAGCTACCCTCCTGTAGGTTTACGCTCCAACCCTGTTCCTGGAGAGCTACCCTCCTGTAGGTTTTAACTCCAACCCTGTTCCTGGAGAGCTACCCTCCTGTAGGGTTTAACTCCAACCCTGTTCCTGGAGAGCTACCCTCCTGTAGGTTTACCCTCCAACCCTGTTCATGGAGAGCTACCCTCCTGTAGGTTTTAACTCCAACCCTGTTCCTGGAGAGCTACCCTCCCGTATGTTTACCCTCCAACCCTGTTCCTGGAGAGCTACCCTCCTGTAAGTTTACCCTCCAACCCTGTTCCTGGAGAGCTACCCTCCTGTAGGTTTTAACTCCAACCCTGTTCCTGGAGAGCTACCCTCCTGTAGGTTTACGCTCCAACCCTGTTCCTGGAGAGCTACCCTCCTGTAGGTTTTAACTCCAACCCTGTTCCTGGAGAGCTACCCTCCTGTAGGGTTTAACTCCAACCCTGTTCCTGGAGAGCTACCCTCCTGTAGGTTTACCCTCCAACCCTGTTCATGGAGAGCTACCCTCCTGTAGGTTTTAACTCCAACCCTGTTCCTGGAGAGCTACCCTCCCGTATGTTTACCCTCCAACCCTGTTCCTGGAGAGCTACCCTCCTGTAGGTTTACCCTCCAACCCTGTTCCTGGAGAGCTACCCTCCTGTAGGTTTGAACTCCAACCCTGTTCCTGGAGAGTTACCCTTCTGTAGGTTTGAACTCCAACCCTGTTCCTGGAGAGCCACCTCCTGTAGGTTTGAACTCCAACCCTGTTCCTGGAGAGCGACCCTCCTGTAGGTTTGAACTCCAACCCTGTTCCTGGAGAGCTACCCTCCTGTAGGTTTTAACTCCAACCCTGTTCCTGGAGAGCTACCCTCCTGTAGGTTTGAACTCCAACCCTGTTCCTGGAGAGCGACCCTCCTGTAGGTTTGAACTCCAACCCTGTTCCTGGAGAGCGACCCTCCTGTAGGTTTGAACTCCAACCCTGTTCCTGGAGAGCTACCCTCCTGTAGGTTTGAACTCCAACCCTGTTCCTGGAGAGCTACCCTCCTGTAGGTTTTCAACTGTGTGTCTGAGATCTAACCCAAGGATAGCTGTTGTGGCTGAATTGTTGTCTATTTCTGTCGTTAAATGTCCCCCTGGAGAAGGGATTTGTAGATATTTGCAAAAAAATTTTATACACTTATTACTCCTAGAAAAGGAATTGGTGTTCTTGTTTGTCATGGATCTCTAAACCAAGTCGAAGTTACGATCAAATCTATTTTTCATGAAATTCTGCGTTGTCTATAGTTGTAGTGTGCTGGCGCTCTTACCAAGATTTCTGGACCCCCGAAGAGGTACTTAGACAGCCCTAGGAATCTAACACTGAAATGCTGAAAGAAGGTTCAGGACGGCAACGTAATTCCTTAATGTGTTTTTCTATTTTTCAGTCAACGAAGAGGAACATCCCCATGTTGTTTGTGAGAGGTGACGGAGTTGTCTTGGTAGCTCCTCCACTCAGGGTGGGCTAGCAGCTCACCATGTTCTGCTGCGTTCCTGGATCCTGAAGGATAAAATGTTTTGTTGACAAATCACAGATAATTATTTAGTCGTTACATTTTGTGAGTTTTGAATGACCAATGATTGGAAGTTAATGCAGAAGTATTGTTTGGCCTTGTATTTTAGTTGGATCGCTGTGGGAATTGTGTAAAACATTGATATTCCCCCATAATATTAAATGCATAAACCAAGGTAATGGTTTAATTCAGGATTTAAATTGTTCCAAATACCACGTCCATTCCCCAACATTTTTAGTTTAATTTAATTTCACAAGCTCCACTGTACTGCACAGTATTTTAATTTCTGTCAAAGTTGTGCTCATTTATATTTTTTGTAATGAACATGTGAACTATGCTGAGACAAGAAATGATGTCCTCAGATTCTCCAGTATTCGTTTTGTTATCAAGGTTCAGTCTGATGCTCACTTGAATAAAAAAGTAAAACCATGTTAATAAAGCTCAGTCTTGACTATTAAGTTTGGCATGAGTCCTGTATTTTCTTCTGAGCTTTCCAAAAACCCCAAAAATAAACATTTTCACCAACAAAGATGAATTACCACCAACCTTGTAAAGCCTTTGAAGGAGGTAATAGTATTAACATGAATGATCAAATGTACTAATGTCAAAAGTAGCGTAGTGAATACAAATGTAAAGCATTTTTTCAATGTTAGGTTATGACTGTCCATTCCTTTTTGAATATCCACAAGGGGGAGCGAGTGCACACTGAAGAGAAGGGTAGAGAATTGGAACGCGTGCCCTTGTGTCCATTAGTACTACCACCACAAGATGGCAGTGTTAACCCATCCTCTGCAGTTCTAGTGTCTCACCAGCCACACAACCTCTGTAATTTTCCATTGCTTCGGGTGGAGGAGATGGCAAATTGTGTTTTGACTTCAAATCCACTTGATTGAGGAGGAGGAGAGGAGCAGGCTGCACCTTTCAAATGATTTTTTCGAAGTCTGCACTTCCAGTTTCACTTTGAGAGAGTCTGCCTGTTCAATATGCATTGTATAGCAGAGGCGGATGAAACAGAATGCCATTTCGCTTTCTTTAGTAAGTAACTCTTGTAGACATCTTCAATATTTTTTTCTGCCTCTATTCAAACAAGTGGGTTTACAAAAACACCCCACAAAAGTTCAATCTTGTGTGCAAAGGACTGCTGTCATTAAGATTTGGATACACAACCTTTTATGTTGACACTTGCCCAATAGTATCATTTCACCAGGCAAATAATTGGGTGCATTTAAATTCTGTAATAGTCACATGTAGCTTGCTGCAGAGTATCAATGATCACATTGATACATGAGTATCAAATAATGACAAACACAATCAGACTGGCGATCAGTTCCGTTGATCTCCCTTTGAACCGACTATGCTAATGGCGACAGAAGAAACAGCGAAACGTTACAAACGACTGAAATAACGAAGCAGTTTGACAAAGTGGAACGATGACGAAGTTCAGAGCATTTATCGTAGGCTTGTCATGGTTTATTTTTTGCAAGATGTAAGACTACTGTTGCTGGACAAGCCTGATGAATCAATTTGATTTGACACTGTTAATTCAAATGATGTTAAATGTACATGGATACAACACAGACAAACTGCAGTTATATTGTATTTGTAGTGTTAGGAGCAGAGATGGGGGTCAAGACCAGCGGCTGTGTGTACAAACTGTCAGGGAGGGAACGCAAATATCTTGCATCGACTTTCTGACACATCGCTCCTCTACGCTACTAATCACTGGTGGCCAGGCCTGTTGAGGGAATACTGGGATTCCTTACAGACAGGTGGATCTACTGGGTCTGGGGCCATGTCTCAGAGTAGGAGTGATGATCTAGAATCAGGTCCCCCCCTGTTCATGTATTTACTGTATATTCATTGTGATCTAAAAGGCAAAACTGATCCAACATCAGCACTCCTACTCTGAGACATGGCCCCAGACCCAGTAGATCCACCTGTCTGTAAGGAATCCCAGTATTCCCTCAACAGGCCTGACCACCAGTGATTAGTAGCGTAGAGGAGCGATGCGTCAGAAAGTCGATGCAAGATGTTTGCGTTCCCTCCCTGACAGTTTGTTCTTGAGAGAATAGAAAGTAACTTATTCTCCAGCCAGGAGGACCAAGGCCACGGTCGCATCCCAAATAGCACCCTATTCCCTAATATAGTGCACTACTTTTCACCACAGCCTTACGGACCCTGGTCAAAAGTAGTGCACTATAAAGGGAATAGGGTGCTATTTTGGGATGCGTCCCCAAGTCATCTTCTTCCCACAGACTAATAATAACCCTGCCATACCGCTGCCAGTTTGAAAAAATAATGATGCTTCATTGCTACCCGTTACACTCACTCCACCGTCTTCTTGTGTAAAGACAACATTAGCCTTGGTACCAACCCAAATGGCACCCCATTCCCTATATAGTGCACTAATCTTGACCAGAGCTTATGGGCCCTGGTGAAAGTAGTGCACTAAATAGAGAATAGGTAGTTGCTTGACTTGGGCAGGAGCTCACCAGAGCTGAGTACCGGCACCTCAAATGTTCTACTGCTTGAGCTCCTGTTCCTCTGATAGAATATTGGCTGAAAAGTATTGTGGAATTGAGTACCGTCACCTATTTCAGTCCAAGTCAAGCACAAAGAATAAGGTTCCATTTGGGATGCAGTCTTTGGATGCATTACTCTGCTATAATGACCTCTGAATTCACTGGTACTATGTGGATGCATTACTCTGCTATAATGACCTCTGAATTCACTGGTACTATGTGGATGCATTTGTTATTATGCACAAACATGGATAAACTCTCTCTCTCTCTCTCTCTCTCTATCTCTGGCTCACTCTGTCTCTCTCTCTCTCTCTCTCTCTCTCTCTCTCATTTCAATTCAATTCAAAGGGGTTTATTGGCATGGGAAACATGTTTACATTGCAAAAGCGAGTGAAATAGATTGTAGTTCTATTGTATTGTAGTTCTATTGAGATAAGAGTGTTGCCTTTTTCATGGTCCTCCCCCTTTGTGGGTGTGTCACTTCATATTGCAAATATGTTGTTAAGCCTGGCAGATTATATAACCACAGAGAGAGAGAGAGAGAGGACAGTTACAGGAGAAAGGGCCATGTGAGCAGTGATGCCAATTCAGCCGACCAAACTTAAAATGTTCAGCAACAACAACAACAACAGGAATGGCCTTAGGAGACACTTGAAACCCTACCTCTTTAAGGAATACCTGGAATAGTATAAAGTAATCCTTCTACCCCCCCCTCCTCCACCCCCCCATAAAAATAAAAAAAAGAAGAAAAAAAGTGGTTGTCCCACTGGCTATCATAAGTTGAATGCACCAATTTGTAAGTCGCTCTGGATAAGAGCATCTGCTAAATGATGTAAATGTAAATGAGTGTTACATGTCTGCATCCCAAATGTTGCTCTATTCCCTATATAGTGCACTACTTTTGACCAGGTCCCATAGGGACTGACTCATAGGGCCCAGGTCAAAAGTAGTGCACTATATAGGGAATAGGGTCTGACATTTTGAGAGGTTAACCCCTTGGTGTCACTGGTACTGTACAGTAGGTACTGTACAATACTTTACAGTACAGTCAGAGAAAGTGGAAAAATAGTAGGCTACTAAATGTATATCCTCTTTGGTACAGTAGCTTATGGTAGCCTTCTGTCTGTCTGTCTGTCTGTCTGTCTGTCTGTCTGTCTGTCTGTCTGTCTGTCTGTCTGTCTGTCTGTCTGCCTGCCTGCCTGCCTGCCTGCCTGCCTGCCTGCCTGCCTGCCTGCCTGCCTGCCTCTGTCTGCCTGCCTGCCTCTGTCTGCCTGCCTGCCTCTGTCTGTCTGTCTCTGTCTGTCTCTGTCTGTCTGTCTGTCTCTGTCTGTCTGTCTGTCTGTCTGTCTGTCTGTCTGTCTGTCTGTCTGTCTGTCTGTCTGTCTGTCTGTCTGTCTGTCTGTCTGTCTCTGTCTGTCTGTCTGTCTGTCTGTCTGTCTGTCTCTGCCTGTCTGTCTCTGCCTGTCTGTCTGTCTGTCTGTCTCTGCCTGTCTGTCTGTCTCTGCCTTTCTGTCTTCATCCATATGGCTGGCTACTGGTAAACAGATGTGTGTTTAGAGATGAAAGGCAACTTATTTTGAAGATACAAATGTATTACCCATAGTGTCTCTCTCTGTGTGTCCTTGTGATGCATTCTGGGAATAAATAAAATCCCAGTCAGTTAATAATTGAGATGTTGGATTCACGTCTCCATCTCAACCTAAAATCTAAGTTAAAGAATATAACTAAATCAAATCAAACTTTATTTAAAGTGCATTTAACATTTTATTTGATTTAGTCCTATACTTTAACTTAGATTTTAGGTTGAGATGGAGACGTGATTCCAACATCTCAATTATTAATTTGTAGACAAACTGGAATTAAAGCCAGACTAAATCAGTGGAACAGATGGAACTATCCAAGCAGAAGATAAATCTCCTTCAAATTTTGATATTTGCACCATGTACTTTTAATGTAATCTCAAATGCAATCCAGGTCATTTGGTCCTGCTATTCAAATCAAATCAAATCAAGCTTTATTTATTCAGCACATTTCAGACATGGAATGCAACACAATGTGCTTCACAAGAAAAAACTAAGAAAAAACAATGAAATTAAAATATTTACTACACAACAAACATTAGAGGATAAATAACAAAATAATAACAATAAAAACTAAATGACTAAAAAGCACCCTAAGGAAAAGAAAAGCTAAAAATGTGTGTTTTAAGATCTCTTTTAAATACGTACCCAGTTTCGGCCCCCCTCAGGTTCTCTGGCAGGCTATTCCAGAAGCTGGGGGCATAATAACTAAAGGCTGCCTCTTCATGCCTCTTGGTCCTAGGCTTTGGGATTAGTTAAAAGACCAGTGCCAGAGGACCTGAGGGACCTACTGGGTATATAACTTAAAAGCATGTCTGACGTATTGGGGTGCACAATCGTGGATTTGATTTAAAAACCAATAGAAGAATCTTAAAATGAATTATAAAACTCTCAGGAAGCCAGCCAGTGCAGAGACCTTAAACACAGTGTAATGGATAATGTGTGAACCCGGTGTAATGTGTGCTCTCCATCTGGTCTTGGTCAGTACCCGTGCTGCAGCATTCTGTATGTTTTGCAGTTGACCAATGATTTCTTGGGTAGACCAGACAGGAGTGCATTACAGTAGTCAAGCCTGCTTGTAATAAAAGCTTGGATGAGTCTCTCTGTATCAGCCTGAGACAGAAACGGCCGCACCTTGGCAATGTTCCCCAGGTGGTAAAAAGCTATTTTAGTCATTATAGGAACTATAATGACAGTTAGGTTTTTTTTACCTGGTGTTTTATCTTCATAAATGAAGCACCACAGTGATATCACATTCATCTGTTGTATAAATAAACAAAATATCAGAAATATTAACTTTGCTGTGCTTTTAAATGGTTGAAGCGCAGTGATAGACATTTGGGTGACAGCAAAACC